GCCGTTTGAATGAGCTGAGGGGGTGGGACAAATGCGCACCTTTTTTTTGCGCACCTGGCCATTTGCGCACCTTTTTTTTGCTGGAAAAGGCCTTAGGAAAGGTCTTAGAGCTTCAAAAATGTTTTCATAGAAGGGAATCGTATGCGTAGATTCCAAATTTCGACAAATCAGACCTCGCTGACACGTCAAATTTGGGCTAAAAGGCAAAAATTACGCAACTTAACGCTTTTCCGCTTTCTTTTCCTTCCGCAGTCCAAATTTGACGTGTCAGCGAGGTGGGATTTGTCGAAATTCGGAATCTACGCATACGATTCCCTAATCTGGAAATATTTTCGAAGCTCTACGACCTTTCCTAGGGCTCTAAGGCCTTTCCTAGGGCTCTACGACCTTTCCTAGGGCCAAAAAAAGGTGCGCAAATGTCCAGGTGCGCAAAAAAAAAGGTGCGCATTTGTCTCACCCCCAATAGATTTGATAAAATAAAGAAAAGATTACGGAGATTTCGAGAAGAAAAGGGAAACGCTTTAGAAAATAGCTTTAATTGCTTCACCTCAAAGCCTTCACTTCAAAGCCTTCACTTCAAAGCCTTCACTTCAAAGCCTTCACTTCAAAGCCTTCACTTCAAAGCCTTCACTTCAAAGCCTTCACTTCAAAGCCTTCACTTCAAAGCCTTCACTTCAAAGCCTTCACTTCAAAACCTTCACCTCAAAACCTTCAATTCAAAACCTTCACCTCAAAACCTTCACCTCAAAACCTTCAATTCAAAACCTTCACTTACCTGCAATCATTAAAAGTAGCAGCAATCGAAGCATTCTTTTCGAATATAATATCTAAATTTCTCATTAAAATATAAATTATTAAGAAAATGAGAGAAAAAACTGTCTTAAATACCCAAAAAAGATCGTTTAGATTTATTGTCTTTCACTTTGAAAATACAATCTCTGTACTTTAGTGCTCAAAATATTTAGTCAGCTTTTTTTCTATGCAAACTAATAAAGATTATGAAAGCTAGGAAAGTAAAAAGGATAATAAAATGACGTTAGCTAGCTAGCTAGCTAGCTATGTACTGAAAATAACAAGAATACAGTTTGGAGCTGGCTCTTGGCTGGGTTTGGCTTGGCTTGGCTTGGCTTGGCTTGGCTTGGCTTGGCTTAGCTTGGCTGGGCTTGGCTCAACCTTGAATTGGTTTAGTTTAGCTTAGCTTAAGCTTAGCTTGGCTTAGCTTAGCTTAGCCTGGCTTAGCTTAGCCTGGCTTAGCTTGGCTCGGCTTGGCTTAGCTTGGCTTAGTTTGTCTTGTCTTAGCTTTGCTTGGCCTTCAACTAAGCTGGTTTAGATTTAAATTGTAATACAAGTCCTGGTCCAAGCCCTTTACTAAAGTTTGATTCATTTTGACTCTAAGCGGCACTGACAAAACTCAAGATTTGACCTTAAACTAGCCTCTTTGGCAGTTGCTTCGATCATTGGCTACTAGATCTCAAATCTACTCAAACTAGATCGAAACTAAAACAAAAATTAAAGATAGCGAGGAAGAAATTGAAGATTTATTAACAATGAACACATAACAAAAAGAAATCAAATTCGAAAAAGGGAACTTGACACTTAAATACCGAACTCATTCCCCGCTATCGTCATTGTTGAGTTGAGTTCCCGCTATCGTCATTGTTGAGTTGCCAAGGTCGACTCGTCCTTCCATCCGACTCATCCTTTTCATCTATTTCAATTCAAAATTTGTGTCACCGAAAACATTTCCTGAATCATTCCATTTTCAAAATCAGAAAAACATTCCAACAAAACGCAAGCTCCGAAAAAAAAAAGCCACAAAAATATTTGCCTGTAACTTTTGCACTTTCGTGGCTTTGCCTCAATGTTTTGAGATCAAGAAAAGACCTTTAGTTCGGCTATTTTTCGTATTTTTTATCTCGATTTGCATTCGTTTGCAATATTCTATTTCAATTCTTTTAAAAACAAAGCAAGAGTTTAGAGAAACGGGCATAATCTTTTCTCGAAACGTTTAGCCATGTATTTTTGAGCTATACTTGTCAGAATGATCGCATTTCAGATTGAATTTGATCGAATGGTGTCAAGTTTTATTGAAATCACTGAGTTCTATCAAAAGTGCATGTTGAGATTTCAAATGTTTTGAAGTTTTTGAGCTAAACCAAGAATCAGATCGGACTTGAAATGCATAGAAGCAGGCTAGATTCTAAGCTTGGCTAAAGCTTAGTTAAAGCTTGGTTAAAGCTTGGTTAAAGCCTGGTTAAAGCCTGGCTAAAGCTTGGCTAAAGCTTGGCTAAGGCCTGGCTTAGGCTTAGGCTTAGGCTTAGGCTTAGGCTTAGGCTTAGGCTTAGGCTTAGAGTACGATAAGACGGTAGCCAAAACGGTAACTGGGGACGATAGCTTGGACACTTTTAAATAATCTACAAGCACGGTAGGCTGGACAGAAATTCCTAAGCCTGAGTCTGAGCCTAAGCCTAAGTCTGAGCCTAAGCCTGGCTAAGCTTAAGCTACCTTAAGCTAGCCTGTTTAAGGTTTTTCTTTTGATCTTTGATTTGGAATAAATGTTTATTCAAATATGAACTGTATATAGTTTTCGTTTTACAAGAAAAATGCAGACCCGTCAAGAAAAAAAAAAAAACGATTCTAAATCGAAGGAGAAATTTCGAAAAAGATGTAAAACTTGAAGAAACAAAAATTGAGCAAAAAAAAAAAAAAAGGAAAATAGAGAGAAAGTTCTGTAAAAGACAAATCGCTTTGCGCTCGGATTTGATCTCGAGCTTTTGTCGATTTTTCAGCTATTTAAAGGCCCATCACTTTGTCTAGAGATTTCCTAGAGTCACTAAAGTCTTTTGTAAACAAATAAAAATGTTTTTAAACAAATAGCTCGCATTGTAATGAACTGAACTCGATATTCGAACTTTTTAATGTTTTCGATTTCGATTTCAAACTCTAGACTTAAATATTTGCTTGAAGAATCTATTGGATTGGTGAATCTATTGGACTGCGGGACTTTAGCCATGCCTAGGCCTATCTTACAGGCCCCGGGGGGCCGATTTGAACATCCCTGGATGGGTCTAGATCTAGTAGGTCAACTTTTATCTATTACTACAGTTTACGTTACTGTAAATCTATTGGGTTTGTCAATTGAAAACTGCGGGACTTTGAACTAAAATTTATTGAACATAAAAACCATGAATTCATTCCAAATAATTTCCATTTTTATTGACGACTTCTGCCCATTTTACAGGCAATTTGCGGATGAGGAATCGTAGTAAAATTTTGGTTTGTGTGTGAGACAAGTGTGAGAATTTTTCACAAAACTTGCATTCTAAGCGAAACGACTAAGTGTATCTTTCTGGAAATTTGGCTATAAGCCTAATTTTTGATTCTCTACAACTTTTCTATTCACCCAAAATGGGTTTCTTTTTGAAGAAAGTGCTCAAACGTCCTCCAGGGAAATCCAAGACGATGTAACAAAAAAAATCGCGCGGGCAGATTATTTAGATTTGTGTTTTATTGGGTTGGTCAATTGAAGACTGAGGGACTTTGAACTGAAATTTATTCAACATAAAAACCATGAATTCATTCCAAATAATTTCCAGGCCCCGGGGGGCCGATTTGAACATCCCTGGATGGATCTAGATCTAGTAGGTTTTATCTACTACTACAGTTTACGTTACTGTAAATCTATTGGGTTGGTCAATTGAAAACTGCCGGAGTTTGAACTGAAATTTATTCAACATAAAAACCATGAATTCATTCCAAATAATTTCCATTATTATTGACGACTTCTGCCCATTTTATAGGCAATTTTCGGTTTCCTCTTTCTTCGTAGGATCTTGATTTTTAATTGAAAAACTTTCAAAGCCAATTTTTGACTGCCTCTTCCGAATCGAAGTGTTCTCTCGCAAGCTTATTATTCATGGCGCGGAATAAATAGTAATCAAAAAAGGGGCGAGATCCGGACTGTATGCCAAGATAAGCCAGACCAGGAAAGCCAAGTCTATGCGCCAAAAGTTCGCAACTAAGGCTATTTATTTTAGAGCGAGTCAGTTTTGCAACAGGGGGGCGCGCGTTATCGTGGATGAGAACGATCTTTGACTTGAAGGGCCTATTCTTCTTCAGGGATTCATTCACCTTTCCCAACTGTTCACTGTATTTGATTGCATTAAGGGTCGTGGTCGACTTCTGCCCATTTTATAGGCAATTTGCGGTTTCCTCTTTCTTCGTAGGATTTTCGTTTGTTTGTGAGACAAGTGTGAGACTCAAAAATGGAGGACTGGAGATCTCCAATGTCCCAGTTTGAGCACTTTCTTCAAAAGAAACCCACTTTGGTGTCATTCAAGAATTCAGTCATTCATTCAAATCAATAATTCAAGAAAGTCAAAGGAAAGCATCGCCTGATTTGCATGGAAATTACAAAATTATTGTTTGTTTAAAGAATTGTTTAAAGAATTGTTTAAAGAATTGTTTAAGGAATTGTTTAAGGAATTGTTTGAAAGACTTACTTCAAGAATTGTTTAAAGAATTGGTTAAAGAATTGGTTAAAGACTCACTTAAAGACTTACTTAAAGAATTACTTAAAGAATTCCTTCAAGAATTCCTTCAAGAATTGTTTAAAGAATTGGTTAAGGAATTGGTTAAAGACTTACTTAAAGACTTACTTAAAGAATTCCTTCAAGAATTCCTTAAAGAATTGTTTAAAGAATTGTTTAAAGAATTACTTAAAGGATTCCTTAAAGAATTGCTTCAGAAATCCTTAAAGAATTCCTTAAAGAGTTCCTTAAAGAATCGAAGAGAATCAAAGCTAAATCAAGCCAAGCCAAGCCAAGCTCGATTTGCATACGAATAAGAAATCCTATCAATTTTTCTTTAATATTCTTTGAAATTGAAAAAGTTTAGAAAAATTTTGACAAAAAATAGTTTCTAGATAAAGTTTTGAGCCTTTCAAATACCCTGAAATTCAACAAGAATCGAAATTTTCAAATATGCAAATGCAAAATCTAAGTTGACCAGCTATTTCGTTGACAATCTGGATGGGATGGATCGACTTTGAAGCCCGGACATTTCAGATTCATCTCGACACAAGGATTAAACCCAATTGTGCAATACCTAAAAATTTCAAAAGTTTTAAATTTGAAAATTTCGAGGGTTTTAAATTCGTAGAATATTGTGTGACATCCAGGATCGGCATTGAAAAGTGAATTGGCTCACCAATCATGATAGAAAAATAGTAACATCGTGATGAAGAGCACGGCCAGATAACATAAAAGGGATAAAATCTCAAGGCGCCGAATTGCCAACTGCCACTGCGACGTGGCATCGTCTTTCGGTAAAGCGATGTTCATTTCGTTTCTGTAAATAAAAAGAGTCGATAAATAAGGATTTCAAGATTTCGTCAAAAAGGAAAGTTTACGAAACTTTCCTTTTGACCAAATTTTGACAAACAATCATTGAAAAGCCCTGGAAAGCCTTGGAAAGCTTTGGAAAGCTTTGGAAAGCCTTGGAGAGCTTTGGAAAGCCTTGGAAAGCCCTGGAAAGCCTTGGAAAGCTTTGGAAAGCTTTGGAAAGCCTTCTTATCTTATTGATCTTAAAGCTTTCCCAATTTCTCACCGTATATTCGCGACACTTTTCCCAATCTCCCCAATCGATTGAATTAAATCCTCTAACGTTTGCTCGAAATACTGATAAACAATCATATTATCGTATTGACCGATTGAGAGACGCCGTCGAATTTCGTGCCGTAAAGGAGTTGGTTGTTGTGATTCCTCCTGAAAACCGTTTTTCTGGATGTCACAGCACAAGATGGTAAAGGAAAATCCCAGATTTCTCAGAGATTTCCCCCAAAATCGAGTTCTCCTCAATTCCTCCCCTTGCACTTACCATTTCTAATTGGTGACTGATTAATCGTTGATCCTGGGCGTCAGCCTCTTCATCGACATCTTTTTGTCGTCTCTTTGAGTCATGATGTTGTTGGGGATTGTTGCGGTGGTGGAGGATTTGGAGGAGAGAGTTCGCTACTCCTCGTGCCTTCTGTCTTACTCCAGATGCCAAATGACCATTCGGGAGTAGTGATGTCGTCTGAAATCAAGATTTTACTACAGTATTCATCAAAAACACTCACACTTTGCGGATCGGCATTTCGCATTGATTCGTATCGCTTTTGAGAGCTAAAGAAAAAAAGATTTGAGAAAAAAACGTGCTCAGACAGTACGAATACGTTTAAACCATGGAGCTGGTCTTTGTAGGTAAGGAAATTATCATCGCACGAAGGAACGGGGCGGGGTTGAACCCGCGATGTTCAGGGCGGGGTCGAACCCGCGATGTTGAGGGCGAGAGGCGAGAGCGAAAACCACTCGGCCACAGAGGCATCGCGGGCTGGGTGAAAAAGCGGCCTTTTCTCAGCATCAGGTTTTAAAAATCGCTAGTTTTTTGTAAAATTCTTTGCCCAATCCCCTTTGTGACATCCAGGATTCACAAAAATTACAAAAATTTGAGGATTTTATTTGGGGGAAAGCTTTAAAATGATGATGAATCATGAACTCACTTTTTTCTGTGCCCTGCAGCTCGTCTCAACTTTAACTCGACATCCCAAGTGACCCAGTGGAAATACCTGGAAAAGGTCGATGATTTTTGATCGATTAACGATGAACTACAATAGTAATGTTTCGTAGTTAACAAAAAAGTGATTGCGAAGTTCAAAAGTTCATTTTACAAGGGTTTTTTACCATGGCATGACATGCGTTTTCCGTATCTCACGCTCCATGAACACGAACATCGATGTAGTGACGGTGGAAAGACCAATAATTGCCAATAGAATGAAATAGTAGAGACCTAGAAATGGAGAAATTATCTTCGAAAGCTTGCAAATAAATAAGAAAGCTTTTGGCTCTTGAAAAGCTTGGAGACCTCTTGAAATGGATAAACAGCCATTGAAAAGCCTTGGAAAGCCTTGGAAAGCCTTGGAAAGCCTTGAGAAAGCCTTGGAAAGTCTTGGAAAGACTTGGTAAGCTTTGGAAAGCCTTGGAAAGCTTTGGAAAGCCTTTGAAAGCTTTGAAAAGCTTTGGAAAGCCTTGGAAAGCCTTGGAAAGCCTGAGAAAGCCTTTGAAAGTCTTGGAAAGACTTGGTAAGCTTTGGAAAGCCTTGGAAAGCTTTGGGAAGCCTTGGAAAGCCTTGGAAAGCCTTGGAAAGCCTTGGAAATCACTGAAAAAGGATAAGAAAGCTCTCGAAAGCTCTTGATAAGCTTTGAAAATGGATAAACAATCTTGAAAGGTTTGGAAATCTTGTCTTTATCTGAAACATTGGCTATTTTGCTAACCAGGAGAGTGTTTTGCTTTGTCCTCACCTATCAACGGGATTCCAGACGGAGATCCTTTTCCCTTTCGATTCCTTCCCATCGAAAATTTCGGCATATCCTCAACAATAGCCAATAAAATAACGGACATTGACATAAGAGTCATGATTCCAAGACGAAATTTTGCGTCTCTGAAATTTCAATTCAGTGTAATTTCAATTTTCCCCTCTTATAGATCAGAGAATTTGGTTTATTTAGAGTAACTTTTTGACATTGGCTCTTTTGCCAACAAGGAGATTGTTTTATTTTCTCCTCACCTATCAACAGGACTAGAATTCTTACCGTAATCTTCCGGATGTTGAAGGCGTATGAAAACCGATGACAGCAACAATTGTGATGATTGTCGACGGGATGACCAAGTTGAAAACTTGAAAAAAAAAGCATTCAATTAAGCAGTCTGGATCTTCTTACCGTAGTAGAAACTTTGCCGATGCACAACTAACTCCATAATGATCATCTCCCAGTGCAATGGTGGATCCAAATAGTCATAAAGGAATCCATCAGATTTGATCGTCGAGTGCTCCTGGATTTTGAGGATATTTTGGGAACTGGCTCTGTGCGCTCCAGCTTGAGGGAAAAGCTTCAATTTTTCTAGAGATTAAGCTTTTCCTAGGATTTTTTAAATGCAAATTGTTCTGTGAGCTCCAGCTTGAGGGAAAAGCTTCAATTTTTCTAGAGATTAAGCTTTTCCCAGGATTTTTTAAATGCAAATTGTTCTGTGAGCTCCAGCTTGAGGGAAAATCTTCAGTTTTTCTAGAGATTAAGCTTTTCCCAGGATTTTTTTAAATGCAAATTGTTCTGTGCGCTCCAGCTTGAGGGAAAAGCTTCAATTTTTCTAGAGATTATGCTTTTCCCAAGATTTTTTAACTGCAAATTGCTCTGTGCGCTCCAGCTTGAGGGAAAATCTTCAATTTTTCTAGAGGTTATGCTTTTCCTAGGATTTTTTAATTCTAACTTGTTCTGTGCGCTCCAGCTTCAGATAAAAGCTTCAGTTTTTCAAATAATCTTGACAAGAACTTATTCTGTGCATGCCAGATTGAAAATACAAAAAAACTTTTGGGAAAAATGAAATTTTACGGGTTTTTTTAAACTCGAATTTGCTTTGTGCGTTCCAGCTTGCCTTTTCAACTCACCACATCAAGTTGCCACTCTTGATTATCATAGAAATCGACGAGGAAAAGACTGTCTGAGTAGAGAGCGTATTTGATTGAATCATTCGAATAGGCCCATGATCCGAAAAGGAGAGTGCACTTTTGAATGTCGAATGGGAAAAACTGGAAATGAGATTTTGGGGGATTTATAGATTTCTTTTTTCTTTAAGACTTTTTTAAGTATAGAAAAGAATTTTGATTTTTAATATTTTTGGCGTTCGTTTCTTTCTTTTTCACTCTTTTCTTTCTTTTGTCAAAGAAAATGTGAAAAACACACAGGGGAAAGGGAAAATGAAACGAGTTTTAAGCCATATAGAGCCATAGAGCGGTGTTGGAGCACTGGAGACGACTGGAGACGACTCGATTGTCAGACCTGGAGTCGACCTCGAGAACCCCCATTACAATCAAATAAACAAATTTTCGTTTCTTTTCCCCCACGTTTCTTCTCTTTTCCATTCATGAGTTCCAGTTTGAAGTTTTTGAAAAGAAACTTTCTTTAAAAAGCATCTGATTCTTTTGAATTAAGCCCGAGATGAGTTGGAGGTTTTTGCTGAGACTAGACCCGTTATACGCTATGTTTTTTGATTATTTGCCCATCCTGGACATCATGCTAGCCTTATAAATCTTTAAATGTAGGGTTTATTGTTTTTTTTGAGCATCAGTTTCAAAAACTCCGACACTCTCCCTGCCATTTCCCTTTCGATCCACCGATTTTCTCAGCTTTTTTTTGGGAATGATTTATGTTTTATGAAAACCATCTAACACTTTCTAATCCTTTATCGCAATATATCATCGTTAATCGATCATAGAAAATCTATGAGAAGATCTATGGGCAGATCTATGGGAAAGGAGAGGTTAGCCTAAGCTTTGCCCTGACTGAGCCTGCCCTCCATTGGAGCTCTTGTAACTCTAAAGGCTAGCCTAAGCTTTGCCCTGACTGAGCCTGCCCTTGGAGCCCTTGTAACTCTAAAGGCTAGCCTAAGCTTTGCCCTGACTGAGCCTGCCCTTGTAACTCTAAAGGATCCTCTATTCTGCCCTTCAATCCTGCTCGATTCAACTCTACCCACCTTTACATCCAACTCGCATAGGCTCTCCGTCGAGAACGGGATATAGTATCTGATGTGTCCTGTGTTGTTCACTCGAATATCGTTGTCACTGCGCAACTTGACCGCATCGTTAAAGTTATGGCTGAAATTTAAAGATTTTTATCTTTTCTGGATATCACATTATCTAAAAAATTCGTTTATAATTTAAGAAATGAAATTTGAAAAAAATTTTCTTAAATTTCTCCGTTTTCCACAACAAAGAAACGGTCAGAAAAGTGTTTCTGTTGGCTTTTCTTTTTTTCTTTCTATTTCTTTTCTTTCTATTTCTTTTACTGCCTTTCTTTTCTTCTTTTAATTGAATCCTTTACTTCTTTACTTCTTTACTTTACAAACTTCTTTGCGATCTACTTTAAATTCCTCAAATATTCGTAAATACATCTTTTCTAAAGCCCTGATCTTTCATTCTATGCCAGAAAGGGTATTTTTAGCATTTTTGGAACGCACAAAGTACACCAGAACAGTTTAAGCAAAGTTTTCCTTGTTCAAGTTTTTCAAGTCTTGTTTAGCGATTCAGGACTGGGACTAGTACTCCGCGCTTTCTACTGTAATATGCTAATATTTTCTTTCGAAGCTTCTATCTGGATGTCACGCTAACCTGTAGTACAATGAGAACTCGGGAACCTTTGCGATCTACTTTAAATTCCCCAAATATTCGTAAACACATCTTTTCTAAGGCGATGATCTTTCATTCTACGCCAGAAAGGGTATTTTTACCATTTTTGGAACGCACAGAGTACACTAGCGCAGTTTAAGCAAAGCTTTCCTTCCTTCCTTCCGTTCAAGCTTTCAAGTCTTGTTTAGCGATTCAGGACTGGGACTAGTACTCCGCGCTTTGTACTGTAGCATGCTAATATTTCCTTTCGAAGCTTCTATCTGGATGTCACACTAACCTGTAGTACAATGAGAACTCGGGAACCCAAATGTCACTCGACGCCAAGAATATCTCCTTTGCTCCCTCGTAGGCGTCGGGATCCCATTGCAGAAACTCGTCTTGCCAATACTAAATTTCAAAAGTATTTTATCTAAAACCTCTAAAATCATATAGAAAAGCTGATTCGAATCACATAGAAAATCACATAGAAAAGTTGATCGTATTGGAACCGTATTGGAACAGTATTGGAACCGTATCGGAACCGTATTGGAACCTATTAGATCAAAATAGGAACCGTATTGGAACCGTATTGGAACCGTATAATGGAACCGTATATTGGAACCATATTGGAACCATGTTGGAGCCATATTGGAACCATATTGGAACCATATTGGAACCGTGTTGGAACCGTATTGGAACCGTATTGGAACCGTATTGGAACAGTATTGGATCTAAAAAGAATCGTATTGGAACCGTATTGGGACCGTATGGGATCTAAAAAGAACCGTTTTTTTAGCATTTTCTAAGCAATCCAATACAAATTCCATTCTAGACAATTCTAGTCAATTCAAGACAAATTCCGTCATTTTCTCGTTCTTTAAGCTCTTTAAACTCTGGGAAATGATGTCAGAAAGTTCAAAATTTGCATTTAAAACCGAAAATTTGCATTTGAACGCACGATTTGCATGTGAAATCATTGAAAATTTGCATGTGAAATCACCTCTGATATCAAATCCGTTTGTTATCGTCTATTTTAAATCATCTCTGATATCAAATCGTCTATCAACACCGGAGCAATGTTGTAAAATTTTCGAAAATTTCAATTTTCACTATATCTCGAATTTTTTGAAATTAACATCTGCTGTGACATCCAGATCGACGATTTTTCATCTTTGTTTTACGTAAAATCTCTACAAAATTCCCGTTTAGAATACACGGAAATGATTCTACGATTATTTTGTTTGTTATTTCTCTATTTTCTCGGGAATCTCGTCTCCGCTCAGCAATGGACAAAAGCATGTAGGTAAAAAGGGGAAATCATTTGGAAAAATCATTTTACAATCATTTTACAATCATTTTACTACAGTAATCGATATGTGCGATGCGTCGGTGCCCGGTTCGTGTGGGCCTTATGGATGGTGTGAGACGAGGAAGAGTGGGAATCGGTGAGTGAAAAGGGGGAAAGTGTGAGCTCCAATCGATCTCCAATTGATCGTCTCAATCAAATGAGTATTGGCAATCGATTGGGTGTTTCGGAAAAGCATTGGGCACAAATTCAGAGCAAGAAAAGACCATTAGTTCGGCAATTTTTCGTCTTTTTATCTCGATTTCTTTTTTTTATTTCCATTCGTTTAAAACAAAGAAAGAGTTTAGAGAAATGGTGATAATCTTTTCTCGAAACGTTTAGCCATGTATTTTTGAGCTATACTTCTCAGGCTGATCTGATTTCAGATTGATCGATCGCTTGATCTGATTTCAGATTGAATTTGATCGAATGGTGTCAAGTTTTATTGAATTTGAATTTATTGAATTTATTGAAATCACTGAGTTCTATCAAAAGTGCATGTTGAGATTTCAAATGTTTTGAAGTTTTTGAGCTAAGCCAAGAATCAGATCGGACTTGAAATGCATAGAAGCAGGCTAGATTCTAAGCTTGGCTAAAGCCTAGCTAAAGCCTGGTTAAAGCCTGGCTAAGGCCTGGCTAAAGCCTGGCTAAAACCTGGTTAAAGCCTAGCTAAAGCCTGGTTAAAGCCTGGCTAAGGCCTGGCTAAGGCCTGGCTAAAGCCTGGTTAAAACCTGGCTAAGGGCTGGCTAATCGATTGGGTGTTTCGGAAAAGCATTGGGCACAAATTCAGAGCTTTTCTTTTTCTTCTTCTTTTTCTACCATTTACAAAAGAAAAAAAACAAATTTTTGCTTAAATTTTATCTTTTTTTTTCGATAAAAATTCCATAAACATTAAAGAAATTTGAATTTTTCAAAAAATGAAAGAACTTTAACTTTGTTTATTAGCTTTTATTAGCTTTTATTAGGTTTTATTAGGTTTTATTAGCTTTTATTTTATCTGCACCACTCTACTCTTCTCTTACAATTCCAATTTTTCAGCTGCCATTGCCAAATTGGTCGCATGGGAATCAAATGCTTAAGTGAGTTTGAAATCGAAAAATCTTTTAATCTTTCTCATCGACGTTTTTTTCAAATCCAGCAGCTCTTGTGCAATCCAGATTGCACAGGAGCAATTTCAGAAATCTTTTCGACTTTCTACGACTTTTGAAAACCCCTTTGCGTTGAGGAGAAACGAAATCCCCCGGAGACACGTCGAACTCATCGACTTTCTCGGGTGTCTTGCGCTTTTGAAATCAGAAAGAACAAAAGAAAGAGTGAAAAAGCGGTCAAATGTCGACTCAGCTAGCGAAAAGACGATAGAATAGCGGCAAAATAACAAAAATCTGTTTGCATTTACTAGAAGAGATTGAGAATGGGTAGATAAAACTGGGAAGGATTACGTTTCAAATGAAATTTTCTTAATAGAACGTAATCTGGAGTGCACCGTAGTTGTAGCAAGATTTTGTAGTTTGAAAAGTTTAATTTCTCAAGAGCATCCACTAAAAATGATTGAGAATGGGTCAATAAAACTGAAAAGGATTACGTTTCAAATGAAATTTTCTCAAGAGAATGTAATCTGGAGTGCACCGTAGTTGTAGCGACATTTTGCAATTTGAAAAGTTTAATTTCTCAAGAGCATCAACTACAAATGATTGAGAATGGGTCAATAAAACTGGAAAGGATTACGTTTCAAATGAAATTTTCTCAAGAGAATGTAATCTGGAGTGCACCGTAGTTGTAGCGGCATTTTGTAGTTCGAAAAGTTTAATTTCTCAGGACCCTGTCAGGACGTGTTCAAGAGCTGCGTGAAATGGAAGGCCGACGATCGGTGAGAAGAATTTTAAATCGAAAATTTCTGAATCCTGGAGCTCATGTTATTGATTGAAAAGTCTATTTTTATGATTTTCCGATTTTTCAATAATTTTTTATTCAAGCAAGGTCCAAGGGTGTAAATAGTTCAATAGCGGAATGTTTTTTTTAAAATAAAACATTTTAAACCCCCCGGATTGCCCTCCAGATTGCCTTTAGATGCTTTTGGGCGCGGAATTCAACGTCATTTTTCTTGGATAATTGCAGCAAGTCTTGTGCGGAGTGTCGAAGTGACGGGAAAAGTTCGTGAGCATTTTTAAACGTTTAAAAATTCATGAAAGTATTTTAAAATAAAGGAGATTTCTATCTGGAATGCACATTTTAAAAAAATCAATTTACATTTCAAATTCGACAAACTTTCTCATTGGCCTAGTGGTTAGTGAGTTGGTTTGCAAATCGATCGTCGAAAAAAAAAAGGCTGGGTTCGATTCCTCGGAGTGACAAATATTTTTTTTTCTTCTTTTTCTTCTTTTTCATTGTTTTAAAAGAACTTTAGGACTAACTCTTGCATTGCCACCAATGCTGGAGCCATTAGCGTGGCTAGTGGGCCGTTGGGAAGCGAAAACCTCGTCAGGGCAGCGGTGAGTGAAGACTTTAGGGAGAAAAGCAAAAAAGGAATGCCAGTTAGAATGCCAGTTTACAATTAGCCTATTCGTTTACCATTCTGGAACACAGGACAGCGTTGGGGCTGATTAAAATGTGCACAAAACTTACTAAAACATTTTAAAGTTGTGAAATTTTCGAGAATTTAAGCTAAAAAGCCAAAAATCTCTCTATTTTCAATTTCTAAACGAAAATCATTTTTTTCTAAAACGATTTTTCGGCTATCTGGCTATCGGCTAGTGCATTCAGATTCCCAGTGCCCCTATCCGGCCCGTACAAAGAGATCCTCGATGTGCAAATCGCTGAAGTGCCAGCCTTTGATCGACCCGGTATCAATATCAGGTAGAGGGGTTTCGGATAAAGTTTCTTGCTAGATAAGACTCAAAATACTTGCACTAAGCGCTAGCATGACATCCAGATGGGTTAAAAATTTGAGTTACGTTGATTCTTGTATAGCTTGGCTTAGTTTTTGATCTAGAAACGACTCCTGGAGTTTCGGGTAGAGTTTCTTGCTAGATCTGACTTAAAATACTTGCACTAAACGCTAGCATGACATCCAGAAGGCCTAAAACTTTTTATTAAACTGATAAAGCGGCAGTTTGTCACTCGATAAGACCTCGAAGTCAAATGAGCTAGATTTTTTTAAAGAAATCCCTCAATATCATGTATCAATATCAGGTTCAATCATCAATATCATTTTTTTAAAATTTTAAATACTAGAACTTTCCTAGTGCATTTCAGGATCATCTTTTTTTAATTCAAAAAAATTTTCCGGTAAATAATTTCTCAAGAAATCGAGCCAGTCCCGTATCTCGGTTGCATGGAGTTTTTGTTTCTTCTCTGAGCTCTTCTCGAGACGCTTTCTCGATGAAAAGGAGTTAATTGTGCCAATTCATCGGGGCTCTAGTTTCCTTTAGTGAAAAACTTTTCCGAGTTTTCCGTAAAAACGAAGGAAAGAAATGAAAAAAAATCGAGAATTTGAGGTTTTTTTTATTGATTTTTCGAAATGATGCTAAGATTTTACAAAAATAAAAACAAAACGCAAAAAGTGAACTGTTTTTGAGAAATCCTGGAGCTCACACGAGAGTTTGAAAAATTCAGAAACAAGATTTTTCAACATTTTACAAGCATCATCTTTCTTGATGACGTCATTGAGACTTATGACGTCATTGAGAGGAGATTCTGATGGAAATCCTATTTGAAAATCTTTTTTTTTGAGGGTTCTGGAGGGCACAAGAGAAAGAGGGAATCGAATTTTGAATTTTTTATGTAATTTTAGTATTTTGAAATTTTAGTATTACCGCAACGACATTTGATGGTTGGGAGACGCACTCGGATCTTGGTTTTATGACTGGGAAACCATTCAATGTAGGGATCGATTTCGTTTTAGTTTAGATAGCTAGTAGACTTGTGTTTCGGTTGGCTCTTTTCGGTTTGGTTTCGGTTTCGGTTCAACCGAAATCAACCGAAAAAGATGAGTTTTTCGGTTCGGTTCAGTTTCGGCTTGTAGTCTAGCTAGTAGCTATTAGCTAGCTAGACTTAGTCATCAAAAAAACAATAAGAAATTACTAGGAGGACAATGGTTTTCTTCGAGAAGTCGGCCCGGGCGAGGACCTTGTCGCTGTCGAGTTCGCTAGCAATACCGGTGAGTTTTTTGTCTACTAAGCCCAAAAACATTTGTAAACTCTAGCATGACATCCAGATTGGTCAAAAAATTTGTTTTACATTGATTCTTGTATAGCTTGGCTTAGTTTTTGAGCTAGAAATGACTCCTGGGATTTCGGGAAGAGTTACCTGCTAGATCGGACTTAAAATACTTGCACTAAACGCTAGCATGACATCCAGAAGGCCTAAAACTTTTTATTAAACTGATAAAGCGGCAGTTTGTCGCTAGATAAGACCTCGAAGTCAGACCACCTATGTTTTTCAAAAAAAATCCCTCAATTTCCATTAAAAACGCTACGAAAAGGCAACATGACATCCAGGATCACCGCCACAAATCTCTCGAATTTCATTCGCCCTTTGGGGCCTGGGTATTTCCGCGTATTCTCCGGCTCGTGCTTATACGTCAAGATATGGGGAATAGCAAAAGGCCAAATGCAAATCACAACCCTTTCCTAGCCACAATGGAGGTCACAAAGCTTGAAGAGAGTCAGAGAGGCTCGTTTCAGTCAAAAAGAATGCATCCCAAGTTATAGTCCCCAGGGGGGTTTTCTTGTTTGGTATGGGAAAACCCTGAAAAAAGGCTTCAAAGAAACGAATCCCAGTAAATGTATAATCAAATTGGAGTGCACAGGAGCGTTTCGGAGCTTTAGATCATTTGTAGCTAGAAATTTAGACAAAATGAACAAAATGAACATTTTAGTGCTTTCTAAAAGGTGACCTGGTTACGGTAAAGTTTAGATTTTAAGGTAGCCAGTTTAAAATCATTTTGAAAGCTCATTTGCTCTCCAGATTGATCGAAAACTTTTTCAAAACCCTCAATTTCTATTCGATGATCGTTTATTCGATTAGATTTGAGGAAAAAGTTTCCCCCCGGTTAAAATTGACATCACCGCTGCTATTTATAGAAAATGGCGAATATTTTTGAGCATTCTGGAGTGCACGAGGGTTGATCGACGGTTTGATTGCATTAGGTTTACAAAAAAATACCTGCCTAACAACTAGGCGACACTCCACTCGGAACTAGAGTCATTTATAAGCTAATCACAGGCTAGCACCTAGAAATTTTAACTGATTTGCCAATCCTGGATGTCAGTGTAGCGATTTGTGTAATTAATTGGGTAGCTAGGTCACTTTGCTCTAAAGCTACTAGACACGCCGTACGAGACGATACGAATTTACAAGCCATTTTTAGTCTAGTCGCATAAAATTTTGATCAATTTGCTAATTCTGGATGTCAGGCTAGGGATTTTTGGCATTTTTAGACAACTAGGTTATTATTTTTTTGGTCATCTCTAGCTTGATCTAGGAGTCTTGAAGGGGATTTTTCTCATTCCTCGAAAAACGATGAGCTTTTCTCATCCTCATCCACTTCAAAGACTCAAGATCACGTGATTCCAAAAGAAAACAAATCTTTAGCAAAAAAAAAGATGCTTAAACAGAAATTCAGCAAACAAAAGCGGTTGGCTTAGTTACCCAACGATGCTTTGGTGCGTAAAATCTTCTCAATTCAAACTTTTAAGCAAATTCTTTTCAAATTTTCGTTTATCCTGGAAGTCACTATGGTCAAATTTTAGGGAAGAAAATTTTTTTGATGAAATTCAGGAAAATCGGGAGAAGATCCAAATCGAGTTCTCGCCGATTTCAGGGATTCTAGACTTGTTTTCATCCTGACACTGACACTAACGTTCATACTGGATCTCAGTGTAGTTGAGTTTCAAGAGAAATGAGGTTTTGGGTAGATTTTGAGGGAGTCAGGAACGGTGGGTCTGTAACCGAGTTAATGGACCTGGTCCCATGGGTCTCTGGGGTTCGAGGATGCCGATTGAAGTCTTGTTTTCTCTTTCAAAATCAATCAGGTGAATCTTCGGGTATTGGAAAAGAGAAAAGATTGAAAAAGAAAAGGAAAGCACTTTGCGAGAAGATGCGAAGAAAATTTGAGGGGAAAGCGTTCTTTTTTTCGAGTTTTCGAATGGATTCTTTGCTGAGAATGGCAATTTTTTTTAAAAGCAAATTACGGGAATTCGATTTAAAAGCTCAATCCTGGAGTGCACCGGGTGAAACTAGAGAGTTTCTTTGATCAAAAAATTCGAGTACAGATTTCGCATTGAGCTGAGTGATGGGTCAGTGATGGGCCTAGTCTAGATTATGATATTCAGTCTAGGTTAGCTGGATTACGGTATCTAGTCTAAATTGCCTGGATTACGGTATCTAGTCTAGTTTATGATATTCAGTCTAGATTAGGGGATCCAGCTTACCGACCAGATACTCTACCACTGACGCTTGACTACTATTGACGCTTTCTTAGTCTGGGCAGAAATCGGAAACAAAACGACGAAGAAAGGAAGAAAGAGAGGAGAATACCCAGGTCTTCTGAACCGTGAGCTAAGGGATAAGGCCCTACTCTGGCGGCAACGGCACACCTGTCAATCTAGCTCAGAACATGCTAGAACATCACTCAGCTCAGCATCACTTTCACCCATCACTCAGCTCAATGCAAAATTTGTACTCAAATTTTTTGATCGCAAAAGAAAAGCTGTTGGTGTTTTTTTTAAAAGATGGATATTTTTCGTTTTTTTTTAATTGGAAATGCTAACGTGCGTTCCAATTTGAAAGAAAAAAAGAGTTTTTAGGGTTAATGACAATTGAAGAGGGAGTGATTCGCGGGCAATCGATCATCATCGAGACCAAATATAAAAAATCGATTTTTGGTGTCAATGACGCTTTCCAAGAGGTGCTGTGCGTTCCAGGATTTGCGTTTTTTTTGATTTAGAAGAGAGGATTTCATGAAGAAAACGGAATTTAGGCAAAGCGAAAATTCACTCTAGTCTCAGAGGGGAATTTGGAAGAGCGAACGATTTTCAAGGATAAATATGGACAAGAGAAGAAATGGTTGAAGAGGTTGGGCAATGATTTTAATGGGGGAAATGAGTTTAAATCGTTTTTTCTTTTTAGATATCATTTGATTCACGACTATTTGAACGAAATTGAAGAAGCGAAAGAAGAAAATGATGCCAATTTTCGGAGACATTAAGAATGAATAAATTTGAAATGACTCACGAGTTCAAAGCTCCCAGAGAGGATGATTGTGTTCTTGACAGCGTCCTGCAAATGAAATGGAAATGAAAGGGGAAATGGAATGGGAATGAAATGGGCATGAAATGGGAATTTAATGAAAATGATAATCAGTTAAACTATTGTAATCTATTGTAAGCTTGACATCAAGTTATCAAAGATTATAAACTAATAGACTTTTTAAAGGCGTTTAAAGGCTTTTTAAAGGCTTTTTAAAGGCTTTTAAGGGCGTTTAAAGGCTTTTAAAGGCTTTTAAAGTCTTTTAAAGTCTTTTAAAGGCTTTTAAAGTCTTTTAAAGGCTTTTAAAAGGCTTTTAAAAGCTTTTAAAAGGCTTTGACAGTCTTTTAAAGTCTCTTAAAGTCTTTTAAAGTCTTTTAAAAGGCTTTTAAAATCTTTTAAAAGGCTTTGGCAGTCTTTGACAGTCTTTTAAAGTCCTTTAAACTCTCTTAAGGCGTTTTAAAGCCTTTTAAGGTCTTAGTTAATCTAGTCAGAGTTAAGACACTCAAATTAGCATGTAAATTTAAAGAATATTTAAAGACTCACCAATTTGATGATTTGATAAAGGAAAACACTCATCGAGACACGCACAATCTTTTCAGGATGAGTCACCGGTCGAGTACCTTTTCTAGAATAATAAAAGCTTTTTATTTTGTTTTCAAAATTTCCAATTTACATTTATCATTTATCATTTAGTATTTATCATTTAGTATTTATCATTTAGTATTTATTATTTAGTATTTATTATTTAGTATTTATCATTTAGTATTTATCATTTAGCATTTAGTATTTAGTGTTTAGTATTTAGTGTTTAGTATTTAGTATTTATCATTTAGTATTTATCATTTATCATTTAGCATTTATCATTTAGCATTTATCATTTATCATTTATCATTTATCATTTAGCATTTAGTATTTAGTATTTAGCATTTAGTATTTAGTATTTAGTATTTAGTATTTATCATTTAGCATTTAGCATTATCATCCCCGTTTATCGGAAGACTGAAGATTCTAAATCTTCGGTCTTCCGTATTTGTGAAAAGTTTTCGTATCTCCTTTTGAAATTGCCTTTTTTCTTTTCACACAACTAATTATCCCCGTTTTCGTCCTTCATTTTTCGTCGAAATTACCAAAAAAAAACTTTTTTTTCGACATTAAAATTCCCCGGTTTGACTTGTAGAAATCGAAAATTTTAGACTTTTTTTGACTTTTTGACTATTCGTAAAGTGAACCTTTAAGTTTGGATTTCGATTTGGTCAAATTTAAACCACTTCCAAATTCAAAGGTTTCTGTGACATCCAGATTAAGCAAAAACTCAAAAAGATTTGCCTTTTCAGCGCTTTATCGAAGTAGACGGGAAGGGGGAAATATTGACTCAAAAAAGAAAAGAAAAAAATAGCTATTTGGTGCTTTTTGGCTGACAAAGAAAGTCGAAATTACAAGATTAAAGAAAACTTTTTTTTTTTTCGACATTAAAATTCCCCGGTTTGACTTGTAGAAATCGAAAATTTTAGACTTTTTTTTTTGACTTCGAAAAGTTTAGCGTTAAATTTGGATTTCGGTTTGGATTTTGGTTTAATGAAAATTGAAGCATTTCAAAGGTTTATGTGACTTCCAGATTGAACGATACTCAAAGAAATTTTGTTTTTCTTTAGCTTTATCACAAAGAAAATAAAGAGCAGAGGGGGGATATTGATCTAAAAAAAAAGCCATTTAGCTATTTTATGCTTTGCAGTTGACAAAGGGAGTCGATTTGAGTTACTTTTTTGGGAAAGGAGGCTTTAGTGATCGCTTTAAATTTCTTGGTCTTTATTGTTGTGGAAGGGGGAGAGAAAGGGACGATTGAAGAAAAATGGGGGTTGAGTTTAAAAAAAGAAAAAAAGTGACGTCATTTGTTTGGTTTTCGAGGGGGTATTGATTGCGGTTTGTGCTTATTTTTTTAATGGTTCTTATTAGACTTTTTCATTGATCTATGGGCATACTTAGAGGGCTCAAAGTCAGCCAAAAATCATTCCGATTTGAGAATTGCCAGATCTTTTTAGAAACATGGACGGGGTATTGATTGCGGTTTGTGCTTCTGCGCGTTGCTCATTTATCCAGAGACTTTTTTTATTGGTCTAGTGGCATACTAGAAGGCGCAAAGTCAGTCACAAATCATTCCGATTGCCAATAGATCTGATAGAACTTTCTAGAAACATTTCTACTTCTGGAGAGCCAGCCAGATTGGCCAAGCCTGGCTTGGTTGGCTTTGCCTGGCTTGGTTGGCTTTGCTTGGCTTGCTTGGCTTGCTTGGCTTTGCCTGGCTTGCTTGGCTTCCCTGGCTTGCTTGGCTTTGCCTGGCTTCAACAAAAAATTCTTAGAGACGGCTTGGTTTTACAAGACTTTCTAATTCTAATTTCTATTTACTATTTTTCCCTGAATTCTCTGCGTTCCCGCCGTTCCTGGTGAAAAGAAAAAGATTTGAGAAAAGACTAAAGTGTGAAGAGCTGTTATGCTCTTTTTCTTTTTCATGTTCCATCACTCATCAATGGACCCCATTCTAGAGAAGCAAGGCCCAAAAAATCGACCCTAAGAAGAGGCGCCAATACTGAAGCTTTTTGCCACTAAATTCGAAATCATTTCGGAAATCTGGGATAATTATTGGGCGTTCTGGAGTGCACTAGGAGTGTTGGCTATAAAATTTTGGGAGATATGCAAATTTGAAAAATGGCTAGAGCGGTGATTCGACTTTGACGCTTTTTACTCATTGAATTAAAACGATTCAAAATTTTATTGTAATAGACTTCTATTATGGATGTCAGTGCAGCTTTTAAAAGCAAAAAATAGTCAATTTGGCTTACCTATAGTATCGCAGTAGATCATCGTGTAGTCGATAAGTGACCGGGATGTCTTGTCTCCGCAAAGTCTTGAAGTTCTCGGGAAGTAAATAATCATTGTGTCCGAAAGCCTGGAAAGGATAATATAGAGAATAGAAAATAAGATTTTAACAAAAATTGATAAAATCTACTGCTTATGAAAGAATCCTATGAATCCTATAAACGAATTTTCTCCATTGAGCTCCAGTGAGCTATTACTATCATCAAAATCTCGTGTGCTCTCCAGGATTTCCAAATCCGAGCTTACATATGTGATTCTCTGGTCCTCTTCGTCGGAATGGCGTCGTGAACGTTGTGAGGTCGGGGAATCGGATGAGGGAATGGTTTCAACGGCGGCGGGTCGAGGCAAAATGTCTAGCCTGTCTAGCCTGTAAAAGTTTGTAGAATTTAAAAGTGAATTGCTTTTTTTTTTACCTTTCTTCCGGCATTTTTTGTTGAGCAAAACAGAGGAGTGAGCAATGGAAAAAATTGAGAAACGAAAAAATTTCTAATTTCCATCGAGGTCTCATTTCCTTCCTTTTTTCTCTAAAATCTTTCAAGTTGCGTTCCAGTTTGAATAGAAAACATAAAAATTAGAAGATCTTTCAACATTATCATTGTTAAAAAGCCCCAGTCCTATTCGAGAGGTGAGAATTTTTTGTGAAAATCAATTTTGAAAGAAATTTTGTTTTTTTTCCTCTAAAATCTTTCAAGTTGCGTTCCAGTTTGAATAGAAAATATAAAAATTAGAAGAACTTTCGAGATTATCATTGTTAAAAAGCCCCAGTCCTATTCGAGAGGTAGAAATTTTTTGTGAAAATCAATTTTGAGATTTTCCTCTAAAATCTTTCAAGTTGCGTTCAGTTTGAATAGAAAACATAAAAATTAGAAGAAATTTCAACATTATCATTGTTAAAAAGCCCCAGTCCTATTCGAGAGGTAGAAATTTTTTGTGAAAATCAATTTTGAAAGAAATTTTGAAAAAAATTTTTGTAATTTTCCCGCGGCTACAAATGAGAAATGTTTTTATGAATAAAAAGCAAAAGAAATAACGAAAACACTGAGCACTTTTAGGCTAATAAAAAGCCGAATTTTTTAAGTCAAAATGGAAGAAGTTAGTTTTGAAAAAAAGAAAGTAGTTATCCGCACCCGAGCAAAACGAAAAAATGTCGCTTTTCGGAGGACTAAAGGACTAAAGAAACCCCACAAATTGGGTCAAAAGTCCTTTAGAAAGAAAAGAAAAAAAAAGAAATGCTTTGTTTAGCAGAAAAAAAAACCACCCCCCCGACCCGGACCCGAACCCGAAACCCGGACCTTTTTTTGGATTCGACTCGCCTCGAAATCAAGCTCGCTAACCACTTGGCCACATGGACACCTCGATGTTTTCCATAATTAATTACATCAAAATTTAAGTTGTATTCCAGATTTTAGTTTGGTGAAGTTAAAAAGTGAAATTTTCTGTAAAATTCCCGAAATTTTGAGCCAATCTTTTTTTGGGAGAGCCCAAGTGCTGTTTTTTTCGGTTTTTTTGAGGGTTTAAACGTTTAAAAACATCAAAAAGCTTTTCAAAAATCGTCTCTGAAAAGAAAAAAATGGAAAATAAGGGCCGAAAAAGGGGTTTTTCGTTTTAAACGCTTTTCCTTTGCGTTTGGAATGGATAAAGGAGTTTGTGAAAAATTCGCAAAAACCACAGAGTCATTTGGGGTCGAAGTTTTGATTTTTGACTGATCTGGGATACACTTTAAGTGGCTAGAAGGAGAATTCATCCAAAGTGGACAGTCTCGTGATTCTCGTGATTCTATTTTTGACTCTTAGTCGACCTAGCCGTCGACCCCGACCTCGACCAGTCAAATCTTTACCCAAAATCAGCTTGTAAAACGTGATTGACGTAAATGGGTGATCTAAGCAGTTGGAGAAGTGCTCAAAGAGATCGCAAATTAGCAAAATTTGCTATTTATTGAATTTTTTGCGCTCCAGTCGCGAGCTTTCATCGAAAAATGAAATAACAAACAAAAAATGATTTAGCACAACTTCATCGAAAGTGGAAAGTCTCTTGATTCTCGTGATTCTATTTTTGACTCTCCGTCGATTTATCTACGGCCAGTGAAATCTCAACCCCGAAATCGGCTCATAAAAGGTGATTGACGTGAATGGTTTAATAGCCAGTCAAGCAGTTGGAGAAGCGTTTAAGCAATCGGAGAAGTGCTCAAAGAGATCGCAAATTAGCAAAATTTGCTATTTACTGAACTATTTTTTGCACTCCAGTCGCGAGCTTTCATCAAAAAGTGATCAAAACAAAAATTGATTTAAAGTCTGAATTTTTGAATTTAAATTCTTCGGTGCACTCCAGAATGTCTATTGCTGATCTTAGAATTCCCGTTTCTAGTGCAGAATGACGTTAAAAGTGAGCGGTCAAAATTCGGGTGAAATCTAGAATTTTTAGGTTTGAAAGATTTAGAGTTAATTCTTGAAAAACTAGAGAATGTGCATTCCAGGAAGGCCAGAAAAATCAATTCAACTATGGTTTTGATTCAAATTTCTGAAAATTTCCTTTTAAACTCTTCAAATTCGGTTTCTTCAATTACCCAACTGCTGGAATGTCTCAAAAATGATTTCAATACTTAAAGATACGATTGAATTCTTTAAAAGCAAGCATTTTGAAAGTCAAGAAGGTTTAGGAAAGATGAAATTGAAGGATTTCAGGCTGGCTTAGGCTTAGGCTAGGCTTAGGCTTAGGCTTAGGCTTAGGCTTAGCTTAGGCTTAGGCTCAGGCTCAGGCTTAGGCTTAGGCTTAGGCTTAGGCTTAGGCTTAGGCTTAGGCTTAGGCTTAGGCTTAGGCTTAGGCTTAGGCTTAGGCTTAGGGCTTCGATCAGCCGGTTCAATTACCCAAGTAGAAAATAAATTGCTCAGAATTGCTAAATACGATCTAAATCTTTAAACTGACATCCAGGAAAGCGAATGGAATCGGGGAAAAGTCGTTTTGTGTTTTTGCTTTCGCCGGGAATCCGCGCAAAATCGTCGTGACGGGGGTTGATCATGAATAATTGAGCGCGGAAATCCCTCGCCGAGATCCACCCAATTCAGCCCCGAACTTTTCCCTGACATCCAGCATTTGAGATTTTTTAGGAAAAACGGAAAAAAGAAAAGTGAAAGTTGGCGATTTTTTGAGGCAATTGATTCGCCGAGAATTTCAGAGAATTTCGGAAATTTTTTGGGCGAAAAAAACAAGCGAATCGCACTTCCTACCGGAAATTGATTATCGAATAAATGGAGAAATGGAGATTTTCGATTTTTGACAAATTTGTGATATCCAGATGGCTAGGAGAAATTCGAGTGGTCCAAAATGGGAGCGCGCTACGGCAACATTCAGGACTGGTGCCTGGAAATGCAATGAAAAATGGAAATGGGGTATTTTTTCTTGAAATTTGGTGAATCTGGAAAGCATTCTAATGATCTGGGTGCCGAGTTTGAGCTGTGGAAGGTTTAAAGAAATTTTGGTAATTTGGTGCTTTAGGTGGGAAAATGGTAGTACCGCAAAAAATCAAAGAAACAAATTTCGGCTTTTCGATTACTCGAGTCACCCAAATGCGCTCCAGTTTGCCTGGGAAACCCGGAAATTTGCGGAATTAATAATTCAGTTGAGTGAAAAAGAAAGGGGTAGTCGTGTTTTACCCTTGAAGTGATAGCAGGGGCGGGGCTATGGCCCGGGAAGGCCCTCTAGGGCAAAAGAGAAAAGAGAAAAGGATTCCAGGGCACTACGCTCTTCATTCTTTTCCCTTTTCCATAGAGGATGCACCTGAACGATCCCTGGGGAGATCAAGGGAATGACATCAGAGAGATCCCAAGCTTCAGAAGTGTTATAGGTTTTAAAGGGGAAGTCGAAGATCACCCGGGCTTGCATGAGTACGAGAAAGTACGTAAATCGAGTAGTACGATGAAGTACGTAAATCGAGTAGTACGATGAAGTACGTAAATCGAGTAGTACGAGAAAGTACGTAAATCGAGTAGTACGAGAAAGTACACGTTTACAGCTATAGAGAAACAGAGAAACAAGTTTACCAAATGGCAAATGAAACTTGGCAAAAAAATTCTTTTAAATTCTTTAAATCAACCGATCCGAATTTAAGCTCGATGTTGGAAACAAAAGAAAAATACTCTTTAAACAAGTTTTAAACAAGGCCAGCTTGTTAGCTATAACATATAACAAGCTATAACAATGATTATAAAGTGCACAAATATTAGGTTGGTCAATTGAAAACTGCGGGACTTTGAACTAAAATTTATTCAACATAAAACCATAAATTTATTCTAAATGATTTCCATTATTATTGACGACTTCTGCCCATTTTACAGGCAATTTGCGGTTTCCTCTCTCGTGGCAGGATTTTGGTTTGTGTGTGAGACAAGTGTGAGACTCAAAAATGGAAGACCGGAGATGTCCCCGTTTGAGCACTTTCTTCAAAATAAACCCATTTTGGTGTAAATGGAAAAGTTGTAGAGAATCAAAAATGAGGCTTATAGCCAAATTTCCAAAAAGATACGCTTAGTAGTTTCGCTTAAAATGCAAGTTTTGTGAAAGTTTCGTAAATTTGGCATTTCTTGAGAACCAGTTTTTGAAATCGTTCTGAAAATCTGGATATAAGCTTGATTTTTGATTCTCTACAACGCTTCCATTGACACCAAAATGGATTTCTTTTGAAGAAAGTGCTCGAACTTCGACATATGATTATAGCCGGCAGTTTTCAATTCACCAACCCAATAGTTAGAACTGCGACAAGATTTGTTAGTTCTGATACAAGCTCTGGCACTTGATAGAGTTAGATTGACACGACTTGAATCAATGAATCAATGAAACAATGGAAAAAAAAAATCAATGACAATTCTCTCTTCAACACTTCAAGAAGATTAAGATTTATTTAATAGTATACCACTAAATAAATCTTAAACTGTCACATATGACAATTGACCAATCCAATACTTGCAAGGACAACAAATTCACTTTTAGAAACGAAACGAAACGAAACGAAATGAAATGAAGAAACGGCAGAGCAAATCACTTCAGTCCTAAAGAATTTCAAGAGCAAAAAGAAGCCAGAAGAAGTTGAAGAAATAGAAGAATGCTCTTCTCAGTTCTCATTGTTACCCCAGCCGAGTCCTGGTCCAAGTACCGCTCCCCCATCTCTAGCCAATCCCAAGGGAGCGATCGCTCATCGCCCCTTCCCCTTTCCCCTTTCAGAAATTTCATCCATTTCCTCTTCGCCTTGTTGATATTCTTTGAATTGATACGACCAAAGAATAATCAAAAAAAAAATTAGGTTCACCTTGCAGATTTCCCGTCGAACTCTCGGGTCTGCTAAATCACGCTCCAGCCCGATAACCCGATGTCCCCAATTTGGCCGGATCCTTTGCCGGAGCCGGATGCCGGATGCCGGATGGCCGGATCCTTTGCAAAAGCTTACAAATGACTATAGTGCGCTCCAGATATCCACGTCGAACTCCCGGGTCTACGGTCTGCTCAATCCAGGCTTTGTCACTCTTTTAGTTTACAACCAACTCCACGAGCCACTAGAGCCACAATTGCAACAACAGCACTTTCCCCAAGCCAAGCCAAGAACAATGCCAACATTTTATCAATACTTTGAAAGGATTTATTTATGATGATCCGTTTTGTCTTGTCATTCATTCATTCATTTCCCCTTTCGTCAATCCTTTCAATAATCTCCTCAACCAGCCGATCCACCGCCAGCTCTCCATTGTTCTGAACGATGAGAAAATTCGGCTCATCTAAAATTCGATCAAATTAAAATTTTATTAAACTCAATAGTTTACATGAGTTCCAGTTTGAAATTTAGCATAAATAACCAAGGGTTTTTTTGCTGCTCAACAAATTTTACTGGCAAGATCTCTAAAATCTGACTCAAAATCTCGTCTTCTGGCATACTGTACATACTGTAGTCACCAAGATTTACGATATCTTTTTAAAAGAACCTTTCGGATGCTCAAGGGTTGCCAATTGCGAGTCGAGGAGGGTGGGTGAGATGAAATGTCCAACGCGGCTCTCCATGCGTTGCTTCAAAATCTCTCTAAATCGACGAAAGCTCGCATCTGGATGGCACACTATCAGATAGAAAGATGAAATTATCGTGATATCATAAGAAAAGTTCTCGGGGGGTTACGATAGCTCTTCCTTTCGAAAATGGAGGAAGATTGTTGTTTTTATGATAAAAAAAATTTCCTCTCACCTATCCACTTTCAAGAAGACAAAAAACGCGTCAAGATTCTCCCTCAAAATCGCTCGATAAGTCGACTTCAGCGCCGAGCAAGCGACAACAAGTTCTAGAAGAGAAAATTTCTGGGATATTGATCGGATTTCGTAAACTTTTATGTGCCTGTGCGTGATCATGGATGGCACAAAGCCACGGTAGACGGTCAGCGTCATTGAGGGGAATTCCTGAAAAAAAAAAATGAAAGGAAATGGCGAGTAGAGTGTGTTTCTCTCAAATCAAATCTTTCAAATCATGTTTTCTAAAAGGTGCTCGTTAGCAAAATTATTTTCTCAAAAACGCGCTTTTCTAAACGCTCTTTAGGGTTTTTTCTATTATTTCTGAAAGTTTCCTTTTTTGAAAACCTACCTTTGGCCATTTTTTCTCGGTTTTCGGGTGGATGGAAGTGATCCCCGTCGATGAACGCGTATCCAATGGGCAATTTCTTCGCCAACGCCTCTCCAATCGTGCTTTTTCCGCTTCCCGACGTGCCCATCACGTAGATTATTGCCGGGAAATCGAGGACGGGCATCTGAAGTGACGGAAAATCGTAGCAAATCATCAAAAATTCAAGAATTTAAATGTAAATTTCATTCAGACTTGCATGCAAATTTGGGGATCCGAGCCGATCTATGTAAATTGAGCAAGGACCCCGAATTTCTACACAAAAACGTTGTCGATCCTGATTTGAATTTTCCGTAAACTTCACGAAGAAATAATTTATTCACCCAGATATGATACAATAAATAAACAATCAAGGAAGAGAAAGAGAAAAATCAATATTTACCAATTAACCACAACGAAATGGGGAAAAACGAGTAATCGACAGAAAAAGGAATACAAAAAGTGATCCAATAAATAAAATCTACCCAAAGCAAACGGCTGATCAAAGCAAGGAGGCAATCGAGAGCGAAACTGTAAGTGAAACAACAACAAACTTTAGAAATCTATGTGCAAATGTAAAGACCCGTTTCTTTCGTGGAACTTTTGCCGGAAGGCCGTGATCATTTCTCGGTTGTCGACGGCCGAAGCGGGAAACGATCGATTGTCCCACGGAGATATTCGAATGGCGGCAAATAGATGGCACGAGCGAGGGAAACATAGAAGAAACCTGAAATGGAACGATTGAAGAAGGGTTTCAATGGTGCTTTGCAATAATAGCTTTATCAATTGATTTTCAGTACTGTAGAGATTGTCGAAAAGGTACCTTTTATGGTTAGAAGATAGTCAAAAGGTAGTGCTGACATTGTTTTTTACAATCAAATTAAAAGAATGTACCATTTAAGAGATTTAATCTATTTGAAACGAAGCAAACTTAAACAATACCTGCAGCAATACACCGAACGGCCAATTGTGCACCTCGATGGGACTTGTAGTAGGGAGCGTTACTAAAAATGAAATGATTACAAAATTATATCAACCAATTTATGTTGAAGCTAAGACGTCGGTCGTATTAGCTTTGGCGCACATTTTGACGTCAATATCTAGCCAATAGTCAACAAGTGTTATTAAAAACGTAAGCAATCAAAAATTTCGTTCCAGCGACCTGTGATAGACGACGAATCCTCCAATGGCTGCCATACTCGCACTGCCGACGATTCGACACTCCTGGCAGTCTTTCTAAAACATAATAATTAAGACTTATCATCGAACAGCTCATTTAACTTTTCTCTTAAATCTTATAAGGTTTAGTTCATTAAAAAAGCTTTTCTCTCATAATTTACACCATTATCTAAAGGTAGAGAGATGTAAAGCAGTAACAGTTTGCTTTTTATTCACTCAAAAACCCAAAACTCACATTCAGCAGCCGCTCAGTGAGCTCTCCGCGCACTTTCGTGAATCGATCAAACATCGGGACGATGATGGATCCTGAAATTTATACAGTTTATGCAGTATGGACAATTTGTTGCGGTGAAAGCACATAAATAAGTATTAAAATGAGAATGTTGTATTCAAGTATCAGTCTTTTTACCACACAACTGTAGAGGCAAAAAGAATCATTGGGAAAGGGCAGAGGTAAAACAGCAAGTTACTTTAAACAGTGTATTCCTTATCCCCATGCAATATTTTTCGGTTTAGATTTATATAGTTTTTGAGCTATTGACTAGCTTCCGGGACAACCCGGCCCTGATACTTTACCATCAGATAGTGAGAAGCTGAAATTTACTTCTTTTTACTTCTTTACTTTTTAACATTTTAAAAAATCGCAAACAAACCCTATCGATGAGGCTCTTCCGGGTTTATTTAGAAAATCCCTGAGGAGTGGCACCAAAATTAAGCTTACACTGTTAGCCATCCAATAGAAAAGGTTTCAGGCCTATAAATCTCACTGCTGAATTGCCTCAGCCGCATGGCACCGTGAAAGTTTCAACCCTATCATCACAAACGACTCTAATTACAACAGAATACTTTTCTCTCTCTTTCAAATACATTCATCGCTTTGTAACTTTTTTTGATCAATCAACCACAAGATAAACTAACTTTATTCACATATTCCTACAATCACGATAGAGAAAGAAAGATAAACAATAACTCTGATAGAAAACGATTCCGAAGAAACGGTAAACAAAAAGAACGAAGATAACTAGAGAACAAGTTTTAGAAGGCGATCGATTTAAAAGGATACGAGTTGGTTGATCTACTCGGGCGATCCATTTTATTGTGCCTTGTCTTTCTGTTGTTTACCGTCCTTCCATGGAGTGATCTAAAATTGCAGAATTGATAACGAATTAGATTAATAATTCGAGTAGACATGCTTTGCGTTATCCATTCTAGCATTTTTGACGCATTTTAGAGACACGTTTCACCTCAAGGTGTTGAAGTAAAAAGCGGTTATATGAAACTTATAAACTAAACCTTTCCATCCTCCCATGAAGTGATCTAAAGTAATATAGCTCGGTGTGTCTAAACACTCTCAAATCGGCCCCATAGAGATGTGTGTTAGTCTAATTTTAGCAGCCACAGGTGTAGAGGCTAAGAATCTTGTCGTACCAAACTCAAACTCACTTTCAAAGTCGCTGGAGGAACCTTGGCCTTCGTACCCTTGGTGCATTGCCGGGTGATCTAAAAAGCAGGAAATTAGTCATGCATTGAACACTCGTTTATGACTCAATTTGAAAAGCCTAAGCTTAAGATCTCAAAATATCATTAAGGTTTTTACAAAAAAATCAAACGATCAAAACAAGCTTTTCAAGTAAAAACTCATACCTGTGCCGCGATTTGCGAGTAGCGAACGTAATTAATGCCAGCAGCTCTCCAGCCAACCATTGTGAAACCCGAAGAACTGAAAAAGAAAGAAATTGAGTAATCAGCTAGCGATAACGATCAAATGAAATTGAAAAGACTTTTGAAAGGATTCAAAATTCAGAGTTCCTATGTGTCTCATCAATAGAGCAATTTTTGCTTTAAAATATCGAAATTGTAAGCCAAGTTCACAAAACTCTAGATAAACGTGGTTAAGAACCAGAAACATAACCAATAAACAAATCAAATTTTGAATTTTTATTGCTTTTTAACTTTTAACAATCAACAACTTAAAAGATAGCAAAGAGACCCGTAAAAGGTTGATATACACTAAACTGATAACACAATCATTTAAATACTGAAGAAAACAATAATGAACAATAATTTTTTCTTAATCGGCGTCATTTGCGTGGACCGGATGCTTTAACGGGATGACGCTTTTCTTTTTCACATCACGCGGAAGAGCCTTTCGCATATCTAAATAAAAATGATAATCCATATTGCCTTTTTTTCTGGTTAAACTTTAGTATTATACCTATTCAAAACCAATAAAACCCACCGTACGCGTTCTCTGGTTTCTCTCCAGTGTAGTAATCGATGATTTCCCTAAAAACAAAGATCACTTAACACTTTTGATAAAATTTACCGGTAAACGATGTAACCAAGAGATTCGTAAAGACGGATCGCGGCAACATTGCTTTTACGAACGAAAAGATCCACGAAATAGCAGTTTTTCCTGAAAAAATAAGTAAACCAAAACCAAATACTTCAAAGATAGTGCCTTACTTTTCGCTAGTTTTCTCCAATTTTTCCATCAAAAACGTGGCGATGCGTCGTTTACGAAAGCGGTCAACAACGGTGAGCTAAAGAAAAAAATCTAAGACCTTATTTAACTTAGGAGTGACTAGGGCATCAGCTTATCAAAAATCCATAATGCATACATCTTTTTACATTAAAAGTTGGTAATCTTATTCAAAACTCACCGCAGTCACATGTCCATGATAGTTCTCACCATCGCCCTCATCTTTGCCCATAACTAGAACCAAATGTGTATATGACTCTAACCTAATCTATAAACGCACTATAAGCGACAGGTTGCCCGGCATGTTCGGCGATGATGAAATAATCGGGGAATGAGACGGCGTAGTGTAAGTAGAAGCCGATTCCATACTAAAACAAGAGATTGTTTGGTTCAATGCATTCTTTATATACTAACCGTTTCCACCATTGGATCCAAATTTGTCCTAGTAATGGCGAAAATATCCTCAGGTTTAAAGCGACGATAGCTGATACCCTAAAAAACAACAAATTTAAAATTTCATGTAAGAAAAAAGAAGTCTACCGTGTAAGCATTTCCCCGGAGACTCGGCCCGGTTATTTTCGCCTCTTCTTTGTTGACGTTCTCTGTAAATCGTTAAAGATTGCAAAAAAGTTAAGCTTCTTTACTTTCGTCTTCTTGAAGGCTCAATCGCTCGACTTTGATTTTCTTGTCGACTTTGGCAAATATGTTACCCCATTTAAAGTCTGGAGAGAGTATCTAAAAACGAAGTTTTAATAAATCCTAAAACTCGAAATACAGCTGTACTTCCGCCATTCTCCACTTGATTGGACGTCTCCGAAAAAGCTGACATTGCTAAAATGAAAGACATTTTAGAGTTCAGTTCAAAAAAGATTGATCCAGAGTCTGATCAGTTGGTCAGGTCAGTCTATTATATGTTGCTATTATATGTTGCTTTTACCAGGGCTAATAGAGATCGATTCTATTTACCTTGTAACTGCTGCTGGCATTCTTCTAACTTCTTGTGGATCACCGGGTCGATCGAGTCATCTACACGATCCGGGTACTTGTCTTTCCATCTGCCAGCGACTAAAACTTTGAAATCTAGGGTAAAAGAATGAACTGTTTACACGAGTAGCGAAGCTCGTTAAGTCGTTTTCCGATCTCAGTCTTATTGTTGCTTTCATCGGAGAGTTGACTCTAAATGAAAATAATTAGCAGATTATCATAAAAACATTTCTGCTCTATTAGGATATATCAAAAAATTTACTTGAATTTTTGATTCTAATCATAGTTATACTTTAGTCTTACTGTAAAACATTCAACAGCCAACTGTCATGGAGCAAAACTGATCATTTAGTGGTTCTAATCCTACCCGGACCCAAAATTCTCCCAAAAAAACTCACCACGCCGGCTTTTTCCAGTTTTTCGAATCCTCCCGGTCGAGTTTCCATCCATGCATACACCCCTGTACAAAGAAATGAATCACTAAAGTTACATTCAATGGTTAAAGTATCGACTTGAAAGCGATCCGCTTCACAAAATCAAAGTTCCGATAAAGTTTGCGAAAATAAAATCTCTTTATGCACAAAAGCGATAGAATATATAAACAAATATCGAACAATACATACAATCAAAAGAAAAACACTAAAAAATACTCGTAAATTCTCCTAAATCAAAACTAAGCATACTAGAAAAAGACCCGTTTGTTAAGAAAATGCTCTTCGCTCTTTGTTCAATGTTGCTCTTTTGGTGGTTCCTTTTTCTCCTCTTGTACACCATATTGTTTTAGTGCCGGAAATTGCTCCTTCAGCCATCGAACCTAAAATGAAATGGATGAGTAAGATAGCATAATGGATATATCTATCAATAGTTTTCTCAAAGCTCTTAGCTTAGCTTAGATGCTTCAAAAGTTTAAAGAAAGCCAGTTTAGAACTTAAATTATCCATAGGTTTTCTTTCAGATCCAAAGGATAAAGTATCCATAAACTTTAAAAAGTTGACAAATGACTTACGTAAAACAATTCCTGTCTCGCGTGTGGGGGAACCATGCTCGGATTATTTTGTATCGTGTAGTAGGCTAAGTGCATCGCTGAAAAAACAGAAATGAGTTATCAAAAATGGATAACATCTATCTGTAGCTAGTTTGTCAAAGTTTTAACGTTTGAAAGCCTTAAGTTTAAAATGAACTTTACATCATTTTGGCAGATATCTTACTAGGAAATACCAAATTCGGTTCAAAATTGAGCATAGAAAGCGATTTTAGGGGTATATTTCTGTCCAAAACGCATTGGAAAGCATTATTTTAGCCGTAAACCACCAAAAATCACTTACTGACTAACAATCCCCCGAACGCCGCCAACTCTTTCACCGTTTTCGACGAGACCATTGGCGGTAGATCGAAGCTTGAATGAAGAAATGGTTAGGAAATGTTGGAAAACGTCTAAATGCACAAAAGAACACCAAATGACCCAAGAATGAGAATTGAATAAATTCCTCGCGAACTCATATGGTTATAATTTGAGTTAAAATATTCAGTTATGTAGCTGAATAGCAAAAACCGAAAAATTTCTTTACTTCAGCCCGTTTTTGAAGTTTAAGCAATTTCTGCACCCACTTTTCGTGTTGCCCGTTCACTTTTAGATGCGTTTTTCAAGGAGCTGGTCCCGGCCGGAACCCCGGCTTATGGTATTATCGGTTTTTGGTCGTTTTTTAGCACACTAAAGCACACATGATTAGGTGTCATGTTTTTCTCGGATCGCATAAACGATTCTATTGCTAAATTCATGTACTTGTCTCGATTTTTGGGTAATCTTAAGAAAAATGGCTCTGTTTTTGCGCTAGAAAAACAAACTAGATGAAAATACATAGATTTCCATTGACTTTTTGAAGATTAGATCAATTTTTTGAAGACTTTACCAACTTTCGTATTTGTTTAAAGCTATATTTCTTCATTTTGCTCATTTTCTTGTTTAACTATTAAAATTAACTATTTTTTATTTAGATACGAGCAAAATGGGCGACTCAGAGGCGAAAGCAAGACAAAAGATGGCCGAAGCCGAGAAGAAAGGCAAAGGAGGCGGCGGGTTTTTTGGGAAAATCTTCAGCGGCGGTGGCGGAGAGGATCAAGCCGATTTGTATGTTCAGGTGAGGAGTTTGGTTTTTTTGGGTAAAGTCAAATTGATAGTCCGGTTTGAGGCGTTAAACATGTATGTAACTTTGTCGAATAGCTAAAAGCTTGATTAGAGATACCGGATAATACTGATAATTTTGCTCCATTTAGGCCGGTAACCTCTTCAAAATGGCCAAATTGTGGAAAGAGGCCGGAGAGGCTTTTTTGAAAGCCGCCGAGGTTCATGGATCGAGGGTGGGTTGGCTTCAAATTAACTTAATCCTTGAAGAAGTCATTCAGAACTTATCTGAATAAGTTATTAAAAAATAAATAACCCTTTCTAAGTTTTATTATTTAGGGAGACGCCAAGCACGATTGTGCTACCCAATATGCCGAGGCCGCCAACTGTTACCGCAAAGTGAATCCACAGGTTGCATTTTGAGCCAATTTTCAAGACTATCGTTTGGATGGTACGAATAAATTCGTATTTAGTTGGCCGTTGAATGCTTGACAAAGACATCGGACATCTACACGGATATGGGACGTTTCACGATGGCCGCCAAGAATCACACGACGATCGCCGAATTGTGAGTGAACACAAGCTGTTTAAGGCATTAAAATCAATCCAAACGCAAAATTTCCATATTTAGATATGAGACTGAATGCCCCGATACGGAAAAATGCATCGCTCACTATCAAAAAGCCGCCGATTATTACAATGGAGAGGAAAGCAAGAGTTCGGCCAACAAATGTCTTGAGAAAGTTGCTCATGTACGTTTGTTTTTGTTGGTGTAACTTAAAGGTTTCATGAACATTCTTAAGCCTTGCAATAAGAGTATTAAATTCATGAGCTCATAGAATCTTTCAAGTTCTTCTAGTGAAGTTAAGTCTGAACATCAGAGTTTTTAATCTAGTTATATTTCTTTGTTTAGTATGCAGCCGAGCTCGAGCAATGGCGGAAGGCTATCAATGTGAGTTTCAGTTTTTTTTGTTGGATTAGATACTTTTAACTTGTGTTATCATTTATCCAATCCAACGTTCCGTTTAGATCTACGAGCAAATCGCTTTTTGGGAGGCTGATCACTCGACGCTGAAGTACAACGCAAAAACGCATTTCTTTAAGGCTCTCCTTTGCTATTTGAATCTTGATCAGGTAAAAGATTAACTTTATAGACGCTGAAAGCAATAGTTTTGAGTTGGACACCACTCACGCGCTGAAGAGATACGAAGACGCGAGTCCAAGTTTTGCCGAGACACGCGAAGCAAAATTGGTTAAGGTAAAATAGAATTTCCTTGTTGCTGATTAGCTGAAACTAATTTTTTGTTTAAGGAGATTCTGGCGACGCTCGAGGGTCAGAATGAGGACGCATTCACGGAAGCGGTCACAAAGTACAACAAAATCTCACCACTGGACCCATGGATGACAAGTCTTCTCGTAAAGGTGAGGTTTATGATAGCTTTAAAGATTGAACGAACGGTTATGACCGGTACATGTCTGGACTGTGGCTTTTATCATGTTCTTTTCCAGGTCAAGCGACAAATCAGCCATGGTGTCGAAGACGAGGACGATCTGCGATAAGTTGAAGATTATTTGCTTTGTGAGCTTACATGTAACTTATTTGTGTTTTTAATGTGTTCGCAGTGAATTGCAATTATAATTTGCGTGCGCTTTTAGTAGATTTTCAAATGCAATGTTTCTGGATTACCTTTTGTTTTTGTTTAAATTTTCAGTCATAAACCCCCTATAAATTAGTTAACTTGACTGGTTTTTAAATTTTCGAATAAGTCTACTAAAGTTCCAAATTTCAAAGGCTAAAATTAAAAGCATTGAAGCAATCCATTTCTGAATCGGGGTCAAAGCTTGAGAAATTCCAAATTTTTTGACAAGGTTGTGATTCTTTTAGGGAAATTTTAGCCAAACAAACCTAAAATAAATTTTTAGTTTCCTTGCTAGACAACGATTACTTGAAGTTTTTATGCACCGCAAAGAAACAAAAGAAATTATAACCCGCAACATTTCGGAAATTTGAGAATCAAACTAATCAAAGCAAAAAAACGAAACTAAGTCTTTCAGAAAACCAACTAGCTTAAACAGAAAAATTTAGCAATGTTACAAAGAAACGAACAACCAATCAAAAATTTTGTATCGTCAGAATTTGCCTTGTCACTCTTGTTCGACTCGAGCTTTCCACTCCTAAACTTGCAACTTCTAGGCTTAAAATGTCAAATTTTAAGTGAGCCATTAAACTCGCCAACAGCAATTGTTGTAGCAATACACCCAAATCCATGACAAACCTTTTTCTGAGCCGGTGTCAGCATGCGGAAGCTTTGAGCGCAGAATTTCTCGAAATCGATCTCCTCACCGCGGAAATCTTTTCGCAGTCTTACCTCGTTTGCCGAATACCACTTTCCATAAGCACTAAAAGCAGGGAATTGAACCGGTAAACTTGGCACTAACTCACCCGGCGTTTTCCTTGTTCGACGAGCCGAAAGCAAGTCGCGCTTGTTTAGGCTGCGGGGTGCTGCTTGGAGTCTAGAAGTTGAAAGGTTAGATTTAGCTTAAAGAAATTCAGAAAAGTACCTCCTTATCTCTTGCTCTCTTGCGATCCCACGGTGAATCGAGTTGCTCAAAGAGGGACGAATTGGCCGATGATGGAGGCTGTGTGAAGTCACCATTCTAAAACAAAAATATCTTATAGTACCATTAAAGAGACAGTATCTGTCTATTCAATTAGATTCTAAAGGACTGCTAAAATGTCTATCACAAAAAACCACACCTTTGAAAACGGGTTCGCTTTTGGCGTATCGGTGTACGGGACGGGTGCCTGGGTGTTTAATGTCGTGTCGGTGTGTTGAGTAACCTAAAGTTTGTCTATGAAAATGATAAGGAAGTACCCAACCTCATCCAAATGCTTCTCATTTTCTCCATCTTCTTGGTGTTGTGGCTGTCGGCTTCGATTCAATGCCATGAGTGTCGCCTCACCAGAAAACGCAGATTCCCTTTTCTTTAGCACCACCTAAAGATGGCAATTACTTTGGTGCTAATGCTTTGAAGCCCATTAAAAAGTTTCGCCCAACCTTTTTCGGTCCAATCTCCGGAAATCCTCGAATTTCATCCGCATCTCGTTGTCTTGTCTCCACCAAAACCGGTGCTGGCCTTGAAATGGTCGATGGTCGTCTTCTTCCCTCATCCTCTTCATTTTTCTCTTGCAGCTCGTTTCCGAGAGTGGTAAGCTAAAAACGGTTCGTTAATTTAGCTCCCCTTTACCAACCTTATCAACAAGGAAACCCCGATTTTGTTTGGCGGCATATTTAATGAGCGCTTGAACGGCTTTTGATGAGACGGAGAATTGCGTCAGTTCGACGGCTCGTCCCTCTCGTTCCATCTTTAGTGCAAGAGTGAAGAGCTGGATGAGTGCTTTCGAGTGCTCATTGATCAATGTCTAAATTCAGTAGATGCGTTTGAGTTTGCAAGTTCAATTACCTGACTATCCTCTCCAACTATTCCATTCAGTGTCATCTTCAGCTCGTTCAACAACAATTCTCCCTCAAGTTTCGTCTTGTCCGACCCTTTGTCACACACCGGAAGTTCCCATTTGTCGGTGGTCGGCACTAAGCGCATCTCCATCAACGGTACCTTCGAGCCACGACAATAGGCATATCTAGAAGTAACAAAACATTCATTAAATTCTCAAGCAACCGACCTTATTTCACACTTCGGCGTCTCGATAATCGAAATCGGCCAGATCGAATCCGAAATGGACATCAACCGAGCGGCTCCATCGAAAATCGGAATCCACAAATCCGATGGTGAAAGCAAACGAACACATCCTAATCAAGCATCAATATGTGTCATAAAGATTAAGGATACCCGATGAATCCATCGAAACGAGATTGCCGCGATTCGTGAAACCCATCCAGAAGACCTTTCCACCTGGCTTTCCCACCGGTAGTGGCACCGTCTTCGACAAAGGCACATCGGAAAGGTGCGAATTGCGCTGTTTGATGTCGTAAATGGTGACTTGGTACTAGTACAAAAAATCAATCAGTCAGAGGGTGCAAACTTACTGCATAGAAAGGTACAACTTCATCCGATTCATCCTCCATCCATTGTGGGCCACCGAAAGGCGAGACGATCGCAACAGTGTCACCAAAGGCCGCCGACGTAGAAAGTACACCTAAAAGGAAATCGTTAAAATGACAATTTTACCTACAATTATACCTGCATGCGAGATGATTTGTCGTTGAGTTCCTTCCAATGAAAACACTCGGATGTTTCCCTTTTCAGTCAATGCGGCAATTAGCGTATCGGTGACAAGAACATCGACCTAAACATAAAAGTTTCATGTTTTGGTCATTAATTTTCACCGCAATCTCTCCGACTGGCAATTTTACATTCCAACGGGTCTTCTCGCGATCCCAAGTTAACAAGTTGATGACAAGAAGTTCACTAAAGAGTTGAAGTTCAATGCTCCATTCCATCCCATTTACCTGCTCTGATCCTCCTTTTTCGGTCGATTCGCCAAAACGATCGCTTTCGCGCACAAATCACCCATCGTGTACTTTGTCTCGTCGTTTGGAATGCTGATCTCTGAGGAAATCGACACATCATGGTACTCAATCTACAAAAGAGTTCAGCAAATCAGTTTTTGGCTAAATTCAATCGATTTCCTCGAAGTCCTCACCTCAATCAGACATCCATCATCGTTCTTCAAATAGCGAATCACCCCGAAACGATTCCATTTCTGAATCATTGCATGATAGAGAAAACGTGAGCTGCAAACTTACCAAATATCGATTTTTATGTTTGTGTCCGTCTGTGGTTCTCTCGGGAACACCGCCTGAAGGAAAGTATTTCGGCAAGATTGGTGGCTTGAACGTGACGACCGGTGGACCGGAGTAGACTGGTTGCTAAAGAATAAAATCTTTGATCATTGTTTTCACCAATTTCATACAACTGAATTGTGATATCAACTGGTATAACTTTACCTGATTGTAGTTCGATCGCCCCATAGTCATTTCCCGAGAGTCGATGTCATCCTCGAGATTGTCGAATTGCCCAAATTGTCGCTTGATGGCACCCAAATCGACAGACACTAAAGAAAACAATTTCTTGGTTTAACATTCAAACAAACTTCTTGTATTTTCATCCTCATTGCCGAAGTTGGCGGATGGTGAATTGCCACCACTTCCCATGGCCTCGTCGGCAAGAAATTTGCTCCGTCTTGGTCGAGTGATCACATTGTCTTCATCTAAAAGATTTGTTGCAAAGAGATTCGATTAGAGTCTCACCATCAGATAGATCCGCTTGAACTCGTGAGAAATTTGTCGGTGCTGGGACTTCCTTTTTATCGAGAGCTTGATAGAGGATTGAAACACCTTCCTGAAAACAGAAAAATCAAACCTTTTAAGTTTAATTTATGCAAAATTAACCTTAATATCGGCCATACATAGATTCGAGTCATTCGCTGGGTCAAACGCTAATGACGAGATCGCCATCAAGCTTCCCTTGTGCCGATGTTCGGTCATGGTGATGAGTTTCCTAAATAAAGCTGTTTCGGCTACAATTTTTAATAAACTCACTTGGTGGCGGTCTCCCAAATGCAGATTTTCCCATTCAATGTCCCCGCAGCAAGATACTTTCCCGAAGTCGACAAAGCAAGTGAAGAGAAGATTTCCTGAAAAAAAGCGTATCGTTAAATTAAACTCAGACTTTTACCTCTTTAAGTTCATCAGAAGATAATCGTGCGTTCAATAGTTCCCATTCGTCCACTTTCACCACGCGGACACTTCCTTGAGTGGCCACATAGAGGAAACTCCCGTCAGAAGACCATCGAACTTGGGCACGGGTGTGGCGAGGCCTAAAGTAGAAAAGTTTAGAGCAAATGCTTTAGACCCAAGTTTATACTGTAAATTTTAGTCCAAAATCCGTAAGCTTAATGAACAAAAAACTAACCCAATATCTCCAAACGATCGGAAGAGGCGTTCGAAGTGCGCAAGCCGATCAATGCCGACGACCGGGTAAACAGAGAGTGTTCCATCGGTACACGTCACAGCAACAAACTGAATGTAAGACTGACAAAAGCTTTCACATATTTTCATACCTTTTCCAATGGATCGATCGCAACGGAGAGCGGCTGACCGTCGAATTCGATCTTCTCGTAGTTCGTCGTGTCCGCGAGTGGAGCCTTCTTGAGAGTGCAATCGCTAAATCAAAACTTTTATAAAGATTACTACATTCAACTTATAACATGACATAGATATCTCACCTACAAACGGCAACAATGTACTCTTTCGAAACGTCGATCGAGTTAATCTCCATCGCGAACAGCATTAGCGTCTTGTCAATCATCATGGGATCGGCAGAAAGTCTAAAGAAGTTTTAATGTCATTCTACATTTTTCAAGCCCAATTGAAAGTTAGAATAAAATCGTTTAACCAGCCAATGAAACCAACCTCGAAAGCGATCTCTTCTCGATGTTCGTTACGAGGTCGGTTGTCGTGACACCCATGTAGAGGTGCTCTCGCCAGCAAAGCGTCGAATGCGTCCCATCAGCCACTTCATGGATGGCGGGTGGCTCGAGGTCGTTGAACGAATCGATCTTCCACACCCACACGGAGCCGTCTTTCGAGCACGTCGCAAACTAAATAGAAATAGACTAGTTGATACATTTGACCCACTTCCGATTGTGAGCATTTTTAGGCGAGTCTAAAGTTGTAGTACCAGCAAAATAGGATTTGCAACACTTGCCATGGCTTTTGGACCTGGTTCCCTGGACTTTTTGCAAGCTCAAGAAGTAGGAAATGTAGTTGCTAACTATACAAAGATTCCCAAAAACAAAGGATTTCATAGGTGAACACAAAAAAAGATCTCAATTTACCTCTTTTCCATCGGGTGCTATCGCCAGATCGACATGCGTCACATTTTCGCCGCCACTGTGCGCCTCGCGAAGCTCGGAGAAACGCGGGGCCATCACAGTACTGAAATCAGAAAAGGCATTAGAGATCGTGAGAACATGAAACGAACAAAGAAATAGGTAGAAAGAAGGGGACTCGAACATTTCGCCTAAAACTATTAAATGCCAACTTTAAAAGCTTGTTAAGCAAAATTTGCATTTAATATTTTTCGGCGAAACGGCTCTGAGCGAATGTGTTTTACGCGGAATTGGGGGAAATCCACGAAAAAGAAATTTAAATTGATTAACCGAATACTTTTACTTTTGTGGCCCATTTACGACGGGAATTACCGTGGTTTGTCTGGAATTTGTGAAGGTCGACGAAAATCTTTCATTTTGCGGGAGTGGGACAAATGCGACCTTTTTTTTGCGCACCCGAACATTTGCGCCCCTTTTTTTCCGCACCTTGCCCATTAGCGCACCTTTTTTCGCGTTTAAAAAAGCTCTAAAAGCTAATATTAACCAATTTCTATTCCAAATGTTGTTTTTCTAGGTGATCTTAGGGCGTAGAATCGAAATTTTGACATATCAGAGCTTGTGGAAACAAACGGACGGAGTTATACAAAGAGAAAAATCAAAAATTTTCTGTAATTTGATCTAGCCGTTTTGTTTTTCAAATTGGTTCCACACGCTCTGTTATGTCAAAATTTGAATTCGACACCCTCAAATCACCTAGAAAAACAACATTTGGAATAGAAATTGGTTAATATTAGCTTTTTAGAGCTTTTTTAAAACGCGAAAAAAGGTGCGCTAATGGGCAAGGTGCGCAAATGTCCGGGTGCGCAAAAAAAGGTCGCATTTGTCCCACTCCCCATCTTGCGCAACCGACTTGAATTTTCGCTCTCTATCCCTCAAGCACAGCGCAACAGGAAAACAGGAAAACAGGAGCGGTTTCAATAGCTATTAAACTTTTTGGTCCCTAAACGTGCTTAAGAACAAAAATTGTATTTATTAAGATGCTTTTGCACAATTTTAGTCGAGACTTGAAAAGTTGGTATTTGACTTGTTGCTTTTGGCGCTATTTTGATATACGAATGCGTTTCTGTGGATCCTCTACCGTATGTTCTGGCGCTAGGTTGCAGTTCTTTAGGCCCGCGATTTTCCCAGGCACCGCGGACTGCCACGAACTGCCCTTATTTTCATTTCATTTCTTCATCAGCTGAAATTTTACTTATATTACTGATCACTTTTAATTTAGATCCTTGTCAGCCGGTCGCTTCCGGTCAGTGATCCTCAATTGGAGTAAAAATGGGCGTAAGTTTTTGACTTGAATCTTTTCCTGGCGTCTAGACGTCTGAAAATGGATAACTTTTGACGTAGAAACTGAGTTTTCAAGTCAACTGCTCGTAGTCATATCAAGGTTGATTTTGTTCTTTTAGAAACTTTACGGACAAGCCAACAACTTCCGAACCAAGAAGGTCCTCGTCGCCGCCAAGTTTGGCAAGAAGACTGTGGAACTCGCCGGTGAAGAGGCTCCAGCCGATGTCTCACCACTTGGATTGGTAAGGGGTTTTGTAGTTGTTTAAGCCAGGAGCACTTCTATAAAACAGGATTCGGTTGAATTGGAGATAATGTGTCTTGTTTAGACACCAGCTTTTGTTGACGGTGATGTTCGAATCTTCGGTGCCGATGCCATTGCTCTTCACTTGGTCGCCGGAGTTCTTGGATGCCCAAAAAGCGTGAGTTTTTTCTGTAGTGAGTGGAATCTTCATTCTTAAAGCTCATAAACACATAAAACATTGTTTTTACAAGGGTTAAAGTTCCGTTTTAGTGCGGAGAGGTGCTTCAATGGGTGCAATGGGGAGAGGCCAACTTGCTGCCAAACGCTCTCGGCTACGTGCTTCCAAGTGTGTCTGCTGCCCATCTTGACCAGAAGGTGCTCGATCTCTACAAGGGAGAATTCTTCGCTCAATTGGCTCACCTCGACAAGGTGCTGCTAAAGAAGACGTTCCTCGTTGGAGAGCGACTTGGACTCGCCGATATCTCGTTGGCTCTCGACTTGCTGCCAGCTTTCGAGCACGTGCTTGATGCTGCCGCACGCAAGGAATTCGTCAACGGTAAATTGGTTTATTTCTTTCGTCAATTTTCTTCATTTAGTCACTCGTTGGTTCAACACGATCGTGAATCAACCACAGGCCAAGGAAGTGCTCGGAGAGGTGAAACTCGCCAACTCCGTCGCTCAGTTCAATGGTGGGTTGAGCTTTTGAAATTAAGCTTGTGCATTATTTTATACAATATCTTGTTCCATTTAGACGCTGACTTCAAGAAGAATGCCGCTAAAGTGCACAAGGCCGCCCCAACTCCAGCTGCCAAGAAAGAAGAGAAGAAGAAGGACCAACCCAAAAAGAAAGAGGAAGAGCCCAAGGAAGAGATGGACGCCGCCGAAGAAGCGCTTGCCGCTGAGCCAAAGTCAAAGGACCCATTCGAGTCACTACCAAAGAGTTCATTCGTCTTTGATGCTTTCAAGGTAAGCATATGAAATTTGAAAAAGGTTTGCGAACCCTCGTGCTCAGTTTCGACGAGAGACTTCAAAATTGTGTCCACTGCCCAGTCAGCAAATCCCTTTCATGGGGAACCTTGTGTTACAGTGGTGGTAGAGCAACCACTAGGGTTTCTAAGTTCTTGAAAGCAGTTTTTGCTTCAAATTCTCAAGAGCCCTTTTGGATGAGCACGAGAGTTGAAATAAATTAGTCCCGCTAGTTAATTGACTTTGTCAATGGATGCGTAATTTAGGCCTTAGTGTTGCTCAATACATTTCTTATAGAGGGTCTACTCGAATGAAGACACGGCGACTAAAGCCATCCCCTACTTCTGGGACAACTTTGATGCCGAGAACTGCTCGATCTGGAGGTGCGATTACAAGTACAACAACGAGTTGACACTTGGCTTCATGAGCTGCAACTTGATCGCAGGTTTGCTTTGAATTATTTGAAAACTGATTGAGCGATTCGTTTAGGAATGTTCCAACGATTGGAGAAACTGAACAAGCACGCCTTCGGATCGATGATTCTCTTTGGAACGGACAACAACTCTGAAATCTCTGGCGTTTGGGTTTGGCGCGGACAGGAGTTGGCCTTCGAGCTTTCACCAGATTGGCAGGTTAGATTAGATTTGTTTCTTTTAACACGAATTTTAGCCATTTTCGCTTCCGAACTTTCGCTAAAATTTCTCTTTAGATCGACTACGAGTCGTACGCTTGGAAGAAACTCGACGCGAAAGATGAGGGAGTAAAGAAGATGGTGAACGAGTACTGGCTTTGGGAGGGCGACTTTGAGGGCCGAAAGTTCAACCAAGGAAAGATCTTCAAGTAAAACACCCGCCAATTTTGTTCTTTGTTACCGGTGTTTCATCGTCGATTTTTCTTAGTCGTGAATTTTGTTTACTTTTATTGTTTGTAATAAATTATTTCATATGCAGCATAAATAAAAACAGTTTCCTAAAATCAGTAATTCGGATAAACAACCTTTTTAACTTGATTCAATTTGGCCAGAGATCGAGAAACATTTCAACCTGTTGCTAAAGTGCATCCCTCAAGTAATTAAGAATTAACTTGCTCAGGCGTGTCTTAAATTAGATAAGAGAAATTTAATTCAATTCGCGTATTAAATGTGTTCTGAGAAATATGAAAAAGTGTACCAACTTTCAAGTTGCCAATCTAATAACTTTCAATTCTATAATTGTTCGATGAGCGATCTCTTGTTATTTGATATTCACTCTTGAAGTGTTTTAAGTAGGACCTCTTTTCTCCGCCCCCTTCCCCTCGAACGTCACAATAATGTGGTTCTTTTTCTTTTCGCTTTTCTTTACGCCACCTTTTTCACGCTATTTTCAATAAACGAGTGCTTTGCTGTGGCTGAGGGCTAGAAGCTAAACCAAAGGAAACTTTTCAACGAAACGATTCAAACTTTGTTATTTGTTAAGAAACTGAATTCCCATTAATTTTTATTGCCTTGTTTTATAACTTGTTTTTTTTCAACTTTTTGACAAAGGCCCATAATCGAAAATTTAATAACGTCGGGTATTTGAAAGTGGTGATCGATTGAAGATAATTTTGGTGAAAGGCCTACGATTTCAGACGATGAGATTCCCCGTCGAAGAGCCTTCCGATCAAATATTATTCGAGATTTCCGTGAACAGCGCCTCCGGGTTACCAATTATGGACAAGGTGAGGGCTTGGCTTGGATATTTTGCAACGAAAAGTTAAATATCCCAGTATACTGTAGTGAGATAAAGAATTTGGCACAATGAATCTAACTACAAGACACTAATTTTATGCTGAAATTGCATTGCATCAGCTTTACAGCATTTCATCAGCATTGCGCAATGTTGCAAGAACGAATAGAAAAGGAAAAGGAAACTTTTGTTTGAAAGAAACCCGTTTAAAACGATAGGATGCCTTTGAGAAAGGGATCTGCAGGAAAATTTGAAAATTTTTTTACAGAAATTTAAATGGAAGAGCTGAAAATAAGAATTTGCCCGTGAATTCGAGGGTTTAAAATCCGAATTTAGAAGGCTTTATTTAATATATCAATTTAGTCAATCTCGTCAACGGATGCTTTCGTTGAGGCGCGTTTCGGCGAACAAACGTGGAAAACGGAAGTGGTGACGAGTTTGAATCCGATTTGGGAAAACGAAAGATGGACTTTCGAGGCAACACAAGCGCAAATTGGAGAGAATTCGCTCGAGTTGAGGTTTGATTTATTGTAGAAAATTTGTGCTTAGTGGTGTCAAAAATGCAATTCTAGAGTGATGGACCATGACACGTACACGGCCAATGATGCAATCGGAAGAGTACGACTCGATTTGACGATACTTTTGCGGCGAATGACTGTAGATCGAAGTGATCAAAGGCTTTTCCCGATGCAACTACCGATATATGACACGTTAATGGGTAGGAGTTTTAGCTGAGAAATTGATTTCATCTTTTTAACACGACGATGGTATTTTGCGTGTACAGTCGCGTACAGTAATGAAGAATTTAAAAACAGAAATTCTTTTAGGAATTCGTGGCGAGCTCTCGTTCACTATCAAAGTCTCAAACGGGGATTTGGGGATGCGGGCGAGCACAAGCGTTCTAGCTGGTTGGTGATTGCTTAACGATTACTCTAACGGTCAAGCTGGCTTATTCTGGCTTGGTTTGGCCAGGATAGTTTCTCGCCAAGCAAGATCGGTCTTTTTTCGGTCGGAGCTGGAAAAAACTGTTTCTATTGAGCTTTTCACAAAAAGCTTTACATTCATTTTCGTACTTTCATTGAAAAATAACAAATTTCCCAATTAACCATATAGTTTTCTCTAAATAAAAAGTGTTTATTGTTCAATTTTTTGGTGGATTTTTTTTCGTTTTAAACGGAAGTACGAAAAAGAACGAAAAAGAACTTTCTGGAAAGTTCAATAGAACCGCTTTACTGTCAACTTTCTAGTATAGTTATTGCCAAATTCAACAATTAAATATACAATATGTAGATTAGATTTTGTCATCTACAAACAGGTACTTTTATGCTGTCGTATCCCGATTTTGTTGTCAACGTATTTTTACCGAAGATTCAGCTATAATATCTTGTGTTTTTTTTTCAGGCTCTTCAATCCCGGAAACGCACGAATTGGTGGAGGTGTTCGGAGTTTGTGAGGAGATTCGAATCGAGAAAGACCCCGAATACGCATGGTTGGACAAAATTCGAACACCGAGAGCCACAAATGAGGCAAGACTGTCGACGATACGGAAAGCGATCAAGTACGAGATTTCTAAACGTTTTCTATTCCAACATCTGTTGTGAGTGCCAGATTGAGGGATTCATTCAAAAAAAAAATTGAAAAGTAGTGTGCGATTTGAAAAGAAAAGTCTTTGCAGCTCGGGTTTCTTGTCACTGATTGAAGAGGCCGGGAAACAAGGAGCAACACATATACTGAAGTAAGCTGAATTAAAAGATTACTACTGATCAAGAGATTTAGCTACCGTGAACGTGTCGATGTAGAGGGATCAAACACGGAACAGCTTTGTGTTCGCGTACACGGCACAGCGGTGAGGCTAGAAACGAAGAGGATCACCCAAAAGAGAATCATTGATTTCAGGTAAGATAAAGCGAGGGAAATGGGCTATTTCCTAGACACTTTTCTAGACTTAACAATCTGCTATGCATCAAATTTTGCTTTTAATGGCTTTGATCAATCCCACTTTTTTTTCCAGATCTCGTGGTGCCTATTTCCCTCTATTATCCACGCAAACGCTTCCAATTCCGATTGCTGGATGTGCTGGTTTGGTGGTGGCTAGAAGTGTTTGTCTACTCGATGGAGATGATGAGGCGCAGAGTAACAGAAAGAAGTGAGAATTGATTTTTAAGCTCTCAAAGTACACGTAGAATAGAACATAGATTGTGGATTGTAGATTATAGATCATAGATCATAGATCATAGATTGTAGATCATAGATCATAGATCATAGATTGTAGATCGTAGATCATAGATCATAGATTGTAGATCATAGATCATAGATTGTAGATCATAGATCATAGATTGTAGATCATAGATCATAGATTGTAGATCATAGATCATAGATTGTAGATCATAGATCATAGATTGTAGATCATAGATCATAGATTGTAGATCATAGATCATAGATTGTAGATCATAGATCATAGATTGTAGATCATAGATCATAGATTGTAGATCATAGATCATAGAGTCTGCACTCTATGCTCTCTAATTCATTTAGAAAATGGGCCTCTTTACGTTACGATCTTTTTCGGCAAGCGAGAGAACAAAAGTGCGATTTAGTGATCGGCTATCAGGAGAATGTTGCGATAAATAGTGGTTTGTTTTTTGAGAGAAAAAACGATTCTAATGGTTTCGAGATAAAGCCGACTTTGAGCCTGACTTTAAGCCAAGAGCAGCAGGCTTGACTCTGCCCATGGCTTGCAATTTTTGCTTTTGAAAAAACTCTGGATTCAAGGTGTGATGATCCTCTCATGCATGGGAACAGCTGTTCGAATCGGTACACCGGAAGACGCATTGCCCAAGCGTCCTGATCGAATCGAATTCGAGCTGAAAACACCGTCAACAAACAAGTAAAACGATTAAAATTTGAAATTAGCGTAATTGGATGATTTTTGTAGAAATTCTTCGCGTGGCCTCTCCACCAATGTCCCTCCTCCACCCACATCCGATCATCGTTTACCAGCGATTGCTTGCACTCGTTTCCATCTTCCCCATTCACCTGAAGAGATCCCAAAAACCGTGAAAACGATCAATTGCGCGAATTGTCGGTGAGAAGTTGAAAAATCTTTACTTTTGCATTCCAGAACATTTAAAAAAAATTTAGAACATTGTTTAGAAAACACTTTTGTTTGGAGTTTCTCCTATCCACCGCTCGTTTACCCCCAAATTCTGCGCTTTTTGGACAAAAACATTATATTCAGGTGAGAAATTTATAAAATACTATAATTTTTAGTCTTTTTCGTTCTAGGTAACAGTGCGAAAACGTTTTCGAAAAGCCGACAATGGAGAGGAGTTTGCCGAGGAGTTGAACAAGGTACTTTTTGCTGTACTTTGATCTAGCGAACTCTGTGAAATCTTTTTCGTGCAGTTGATTGGGTGAATGCAATGCAATAAAAAGTGCACAAAGTACAGAATCCTTTCAGCATCTATCGAGCATCGATATGGAGCTGCACGCTGCATTACACGCTGAAGTAAAGACTGTAAACTCGAATGTGCGTTTAATATCGAAATATCAAACTAGATAATAATTCTATATAATTATTTGAGATATTTAATTGAAATGTTTCTTCAGGGAAATGCGATTTTCGATCTTCGCTCGGCTGTTCATTTGAATGAGGACACGTTGGTGGTTGTGCTGACTGGAGTGCTTGTAAGATTGCTGCCATTGCAGGTAAACTAATAAAACCTTGAAATTTTGAAACCTGTACACATTTTCAGAAAGAAGAACTCGCCTCGCCGTCGATTGTCTCAGTACTCTCGTTTCCCGGCTTGCAAAAGTGAGTTAGAGAGCCTTCCTTACGAAAAAAAAGATCCATCTGGAAAGTCATCAAGCAAGCTTTTTTAACAAAATTTAGCTAGCAATGAGTTCTACCAGAAATTTCGCAGATACGGTGACGCTCGTCGCTTCTCATGGGGTTCAGTTCGTGACGCGATCCGCGGCCGTCCCATTCAAGCTCCATCGATTCAGTTTCGTTTCATGACACTACGGTGAGTAAATAGTTTATCTGAATGAAATTTCCTTTAGCCCAACTCTTTCCGAGTTGGTTGCGATGAGCGAAGACAATGCGAAACCCAGGCGACGATTGGCTTCGTTTGTCGAGAAAGTTCGCCGCCGGCAACATGAGGTGATTTGCTTGGAATGGTTTTGATCTACTTAAGAGATTTTAGTTTGAATAGTTCTTGGGTTTATTAGAAATCTTAGATTCAGTTTCTTTTCAGAAAGATCACTTATCGCAAATTGCTTTCGAGCGAGAGCTTTGTGTGGGGATTGGGATGATCGAGAATTGCGGAGTGACTAATGTATCAGCGGTGAGTGAAAGGAGAATATTCTATAGATAAATCGTTAGGTAGCCGGTCTACATCCAGCCAATCCGGGGCATTCACAAATTTTTGGTCGTGATCATTCTCTTGCACCGCACACTTTCGCTCAATGGTCTGAAGTGTTTATCAGGTAGAGAAAATCTGTGATTACCAGTACAAAGACTTGTATCAGGGATTTGACCCAGATCACTTTTACTAAGCTAGCTCAAAATAGGCATTACTATAAAGTCAGAATCAAAATCTATAAGAAAGAAAATCGATTCAGAGAAGAGATGAGCTCTTTAACTGACGCTCCATCGGTTGATCGTTTTGTTTCGGCTGCTGTCGAGGAAGCGTTGACGGTTGGACGAGCGATTTGTCATGTAAGTGTTGGATAAAAATGTATATAGCTTTAGAGAAGATTTTACTCAAAATAGTTTTCCAGAGTTGTGCCGGCAGTGGATTGACAAATTTCGAGATTTCATCTTTTCATCTGAATGTTGGTCGTGATGCAACACAAGCGCTTTTTCTTGTTTCATGCGATTTTGCTTATGATCCAAATTGAGAATTTATTTTCGACTAATTGACTCTTTTGATATCTAATATCAAAAAAAAATCTTTTTCTTACTTTTCTCTTTTTTTTTTTTGCTTTCTCAATCAGTGTTATTTTGTGCCATATCTTTTTGATGAATCTCGTTTTTTAATAAACTTTTAAATCATGTTAAATCACGTTTTTTTTAAGCAATAAACCTTTCGTGTGACATCCAGAATTTCGAAATTTAAGATCAAAAAAATTGGAAAGATAAATTGAAAAGAAATCAAAGAGCAGAGTGAAACTCAAAAAAAAGGCTATAGCTAGAGAAATGCTCTTTGTTCGGTTGCGTAATCGCTCGCAATCTCGCAAACCCTGGTATAAGATTTTCTTTTTGGAATTTGTAACAATTGTAAACGAGTAACAGTGACTAAAATATTCCCCTTTTTGCTTGGCATTATTTGTGCCAAATTTTTGGCCTCAAATTCTTGCCTCAAATTTGACGATTTTTTTTTTTTTTGCTAAAAATTTTCGACTTTCCCTTCAATCAATTTTTTTTTTTTATATCATTTTAAAGACTTAAAATTTCTTTTATTAATATATAGAAATGAATATGAAAAGAAGGCTATAGCGTTTAGAGTTTGACGAGTCGATTCGAAAGTTCATTGAAGCTTCTCAAAAGTTCCTTTGGGGGTGGGACAAATGCGACTTTTTTTTCTTTTTGCTGGAAAAGGCCTTAGAGCTTCGAAAATATTTCCGTATAAGGGAATCGTATGCGTAGATTACGAATTTCGACAAATCACACCTCGCTGACACGTCAAATTTGTCAAAATTCTGAATCTACGCATACGATTCCCTTGTATGAAAACGTTTTTGAAGCTCTACGACTTTTCCTAAGGCCTTTTCCAGCAAAAAAAAAGGTGCGCAAATGTCCAGGTGTGCAAAAAAGAGGTCGCATTTGTCCCACCCCCGTTCCCTGAAGCTTCCAAAAGTTCCCTGAAGCTTCTCAAAGTTCCCTGAAGCTTCCAAAAGTTCCCTGAAGCTTCCAAAAGTTCCCTGAAGCTTCCAAAAGTTCCCTGAAGCTTCTCAAAGTTCCCTGAAGCTTCCAAAAGTTCCCTGAAGCTTCCAAAAGTTCCCTGAAGCTTCCAAAAGTTCCTTGAAGCTTCTCTAAAGTTCGTAAGAGCGAATTTCTCTGGAAATGACAGCCGACAGAGTCTCTCGGAAAAAAAAGTGAATTATAAAATTTGTGAAAAAGCAAGAAATTCCTCAAGTGAAGAGGAATCTGATTTTGATTTTCCTTGAGGAAAAGAGGAGAATTTTAAAATAAAAAAATCTCTTTCTTCTTTTAAAGGAAATCTGTCATTTTCACACTTCAGAAATTTCATTTTTACTAAAAATTTTACAAAAATTACAAATTTTTTGAAATTACAAAATTTCCTCGTTTTTTTTCTATAGAATTTTTGCTAGAAATTCCCAAGATTTTGAGGCTTTTTTTTACCCCAAAAAATCCAGCATATCGAATTTCTGTTAAGCGCCTTTTTTTGAAGATTCGAAGATTTAACGAAATTTTTCTCTTCATTTCTTCACTCATATACTTTGGGTTTTTGCCCAAAAATTCGTTAACCTACCCTCTCTGGCGCATGGGATTTTGAGTTTTTCTTTCTTTCAATGAATATCCATACAAAATCTATCTCTTTTAAGCTATTCGCCTTTTCGGGAGAAAATTAGTTCGAAAGAAATGCAGAAAGAAAAAAGAAATGCCAACCAATTTCCTGCAAAAAAACCTTCTAAAAACTTGAAGCTTTTTATTAATATAATTAAGTAAAACTGTTCTATCTTCTTTGCTATTCCGAAGAATTGATCCTTGTAAAAAACAGGCCTTAGTCTTGGCCTAATTCTTGATCTTATGCTTGGCCTTATGCTTAGCCTGATTCTTGGCCTTGTGCTTGGCCTGATTCTTGGCCTTATGCTTGGCCTTGTGCTTGGCCTGGTTCTTGGTCTTATGCTTGGCCTTATTCTTGACCTTATTCTTGGCTTTAGTCTTGACCTTATCCTTGGTCTTATTCTTAAACTCTGAGAATTTCCTCTTCCTTGATTTCAAGACCTAAGCTTTTCACCTAGCTAGCTAGCTAACAAAATGCTTGAATTACTACAATAATATAATTCAAGCATTCCACGATAAACGATATTCCACTAAAGCAACTCAAGCATCTTTTCATCTCGAATTTGATTCAAGATTTAGTGCAAAAAGTCCTTAAGACCAGACCTACAGTACTGGACAATGAAATATGATATTTGAAAAAAGATCGTCACTTTCGCGCGTCTGTAACTCCCTTGTCTTTGAGTTTAAACTATTAGTGTTATACATTTTCTGAAAGCTCTTTTCAAGGGCTACACAATGATAATATTAATATTTAGAAATACGGTAAAGACAATGGAGTTACAGACGCGCGAAAGTGACGATCTTTTTTCAAATATCATATTTCATTGTCCAGTAGTGTAGATACAGCTACAGTTTTCCCCTAAAAAGCGTTTTCGATAAAAATTTCCCATAATAAGATCTGTGATTGAGAGGAAAAGAAAGTTTGAAAAATAGTCTAAATGATAGGTTTTTTTTCATGATTATTCATATTGGGTTTCCGATTTTTTGGGAGAGTACCTTAAATTTGTCGAATTTTGACGTTTTATAGCTCATCTAGCTCCAAGAACGACTCTAAGAAATTATAGCTCATCCTAAAGCTGAATTCAAGACGGATCGATTGGTAAAAACCGTTTTGAGATATCTCTTTTCTAAAAGTTTTTACAGCTATTTTAGTAAAGGGCGGCAGAGCCAAAAACAGCCAAAAAATGGCTGTTTTCACGTTTTCATTAGTTTTCTGTGCAGAAACCTAGGCTAAAAACATGTGTTTCGTGATCAGCGTCCAAAATAACCCCTAGACACGCATTTTCAGAAGCTTAGCAAAAAATTTCTGAAAAATATTGTCACCGGTGGAAGTCGAACCAGCGACCCTCAGATCAATAGCCTTTCCGCCGCTTTTCGCGATTTTCCTTTGTTTTTGCTCGTTTTCTTTTTTTTGTTGTACCCTAAAAACAACATCAAAAAAAAATGATAAAACAAAAAAAAAACGAGATAGATTTGCCCGGCTTTTTTATTGAGCTTTGGGTAAACTTCGTCGAAGGCAAAAAGGTCGTCGAAGGCAAAAGAAATTCGTTGACTCCTCGGGTGCACGGCTAATTGGTGATGAATGGAGAAAATGAAATGCGCCCAATTTTTTTTTGGTGGGGCGAGTAAAGTGGGGAGAGAAAGGAAAGAAAAGTAAAAGAAAAGTCGAGAAAAAAGGGATAGCTAGAATGGAAAGTCCAAACAGGGATTATCGCCCATTTAATTCCCCATCTTTTTTTTTACTTGTTCTTTCATTTATTTGCTTTCATTTAAGTTTTTTGATTGCTTTTTCAAATGTTCGCCTCTATTGATCACTTTTTTTTGGGAAATTTTCGGCTCATAAACGCTCATAAACGTGCAAATCTATACTTTAAACAAAAATTTGTATAAATATATTCTTTCTGGTGCGCTCATTTGATAATAGATTCGTTTATTGGGTATACTTTATGCCGTGAGTGTGAGTGTGTCCCTGGAAAGTGTCCCTGGAAAGCGTTACTCCACGAAAAACTCTCTCTCTCTCTCTCTCTCTCTCTCTCTCACAAAAGTGCGCCAGAAAGAAAGCACTTCTGGAATTTGCATAACCACAAAGTACACACAAAATAAAGTGCTTTCCAGAGACTCTTTCCAATTCTTGGAAACGAATTTTTGTGAAAACGAAGAACTTTCCTCAATCCTCATCTCTCTGTTGCTGACAGAATTAATGAGAAAAATTTTGCTCAACGACAACGAGTGTTTATGAGTTGTTGATTGAATGCTAAAGTCATTCAAAAACACCCTTTCGCATCACATTTCCTCATTTTTTCGGAATCTCTGAAAATCGGCAATGCAAACACTGAAAAATTTGCCTATTTAAGCTTGATTTCGTGTTGACCACAAAATCCCGATTTTCCTTCAAGAAAATTCGGTTTTTATTTGAAATTTGTAAGTTCTGGATGTCACAGTAACATCTGATTTGATTTGATTAAACAAAATATAGTTTTGCAGCGTAGTCTCCAACCGAGTTCAGGGTTCATCCCAAAATCTCATTTCTCGTTTAAGAAAATCGTGTTTTTATTTGAAATTCGTAAATCCTGGATGTCACTCTAAAATTTGATGAAATAAAATTCACAATTCAGAGAGGTTTTTTTTTGATGGCTAAGTGGGGTCGGCACTGTTGTCTTCCAGGCGACGGGTCGAGGGTTCGAGTCCGCGAGCGGCCACTCGACCTTTTTTAATGCGATTTTGGTTTCAACTTTTTGTTAATTCAAATTAAACTCGAGTTTTTTGAAATTTCAATTAGAAAAAAAAGGGTTTTCACAGGGAAAAGTTTTAATTTTAAATTGAATTTGTTTGCCCATCAGAGCACGTCAAACCGGGGTCTGTTGTAAGAAAATTCTGGTTTTTTCTTTTTGTGAAATTCGTAGCAATCCTGCGATGTCACAGTACTATTTTCTATTCGCCCCCTAATAAACAAAATATAGTTTTGCAGCCTAAAAAAGTTGGCCATCTCAAAATCTCAATTCTCCTTCAAGAAAACTCTGTTTTTATTTGAAATTTAGAAGTTCTGGATGTCACAGAAATATCTGATTTGATTTGATTAAACAAAATATAGTTTTGCAGCCCCTTCTCATACCGAGTTCAGGGTTCACTCCAAAAATCTCATTTTCGTTTAAGAAAATCGTGTTTTTATTTGAAATTCGTAAATCCTGGATGTCACCCTAAAATTTGATTAAATAAAATTCACAATTTGTCTATTTAAGCTTGATTTCGTATTGACCACAAAATCCCGATTTTCCTTCAAGAAAGTCGGGTTTTTATTTCAATTTTAGAAGTTCTGGATGTCACAGAAATATCTTATAAACAAAATATAGTTTTTCAGCGTAGTCTC